GGCATATTGTTTATATGCAAATTTAATTTAAAACTACAAAGTTTTAGTCATTTTGGTGGGCTAGTTTGAAATAGTGTATCTTGTAAGTCATAGTGGCACACATAAAAAGCATTGGTTAACCAGAAAGCTTAAGGCAACAGGAAAAAAAAAAAATTTGAATGAAGAGAATCCTGTGAAAGAGAGTTGTCAGTATGTGTTATATGTTAGTTTGATGTTTCTGTTCCAGAAGGTAACGGTAGGAAGTTATAAGCTCAGATGCAAGTGGTAATACTGGTCTGGCCAGCTCCGGAAATGAAACAGCCACGGGGCATATATTTCTAAATGGCTTCTAAGTCATGGTTCAGTGTTAACTACTTTGTGGTCTTTAATTTAGAATTAAGTAAAACTAACATTAAAGAAAACATTATATAATCAGTTTTACTGTAGCTGAGAGAAATTAGTCTTTTGTCTTTAAAGTGATGCCATTATAGATGATTATATGAAACTACAGGCCCAGTGCGTGAAATTAGTGCATGGGGCCGGGGGGGGGGGGGGGGTGTCCCTCATCCTAACCTGCACCCTCCCCAATCTGGGATCCCGCAAGGGATGTCTGACTGCCCATTTAGGCCAATCCAGGTAGGACTGCTGGCTCCCAATTGCTTGCCTGCTTGCCTTCCTGATTGCCCCTAACCGCTTCTTCCTGCCAGCCTGATCACCCCCTAACCACTCCTCTGCCAGCCTGATTGATGCCCTTCCTTTCAGGCCTGCTAGCTCCCCTGCTGGCCATTTTGTGGCAGCCATCTTGTGTCCACATGGAGGCAGGATCTTTGACCACATGGGGGAAGCCATCTTGTGTGTTGGAGTGATAGTCAATTTGCATATTATTCTTTTATTAAATAGGATACCAGAAACAAAAAAAAAAACTTTTAGCCATAGCCAGCACTGCCCCTCCCCTGAAACTGTTATTAAGTTGAAACTCAAGAATTTTTTTTCCCATCCATATGCTTCACTCTAATCATGAAGTATACATCTTAGGTGTTAGATGCTATCTTGACTTGTACACACCATGAGCAAATTATGACTAAAAACTTGTGTTGTTTTCGGCACTTCAGCATTCATTATGTAAAAATACTATCAATTTTTTTTGTGTATCTTTTTTTGTTGATTTTTTACAGAGAGGAAGAGAAAGGGATAGAGTCAGAAAAATTGATGAGAGAGAAACATCTACCAGCTGCCTCCTGCACAACCCCCACTGGGGATGTGCCTGCAGCCAATGTACATGCCTTTGACCGGAATCAAACCTGGGACCCTTCAGTCCACAGACCTACGCTCTATCCACTGAGCCAAACCAGTTTTGGCCACATTTTATTTTTTAAGTTTACCAATGGATGTTCTTTTGAGTTGTTTACAATTATTGGCTATTGTGAATAATGCTCCTGTGAACATGTGTGCCCAAGTCTTTGTGGAGTATGTATTTTCATTTCTCTTGAATAGATAATTGGGGTAGTTTTGCTGGATTATCTGGTAGCTCTATGTTTAATTTTTGAAGAAACTGCTTAACTGTTTTCCAAAGTGGTTGTATGATTTTACATACTTGCCAGCAGTATATGAGGGTTCCAATTTATCTACATTTTTGTCATATTTGTTATTTTTTTTAAAAAATCTAGATTTATATTTCAAAGTATTACATATTTTCTCCTCTTTCCCCCCATTGATCTCCTCCACCCTCCTGAGGCCTACCGCATATTGACTATGTCCATGGATTGTACATATATGCATAGAAGTTCTTTGGTTAATCTCTTCTTGTCCTCCCTCTCCACCCTTGCCTCTCAGATTTGTCAGTCTATTCCATGCTTTCATGTTTCTGGGTCTATTTTGTTTATCAGTTTATTTTGTTCATTAGATTCCACATATAAGTGAAATCACATGATATTTGTCTTTCTTTGGCTTATTTTGCTTAGCATATTTTTCTGTCTTTTTAATTAGTGGATGTGAATTAGTACCTCAGTGTGATTTTGGTTGGCATTTTTATAATGGCTAATGATGTTGAAACATCTTTTTATGTACTTACTGGCCATTTTTATATCTTCTTTGGAGAAATATTTTAAAAATTGGGTTATCTGGTTTTTTTGTATTGAGTTGTGGAAGGTCTTTGTATATTCTTATTCAGTGGTTTTTGGTTTTTTTTCTCTTTTCCCACCCCCCTTTAAAATGTGTTTTTATTGATTTGAGAGAAACAGAAACATGTATGTGAAAAACACCCAGCAGTTGCCTCCTGCATGCCCCTTACTGAAGATTAGGATTAGAACTGCAACCTGGGTCGAGACCGGTTTGGCTCAATGGATAGAGCGTCGGCTTGGGGACTGAAGGGTCCCGGGTTCGATTCCAGTCAAGGGCATGTACCTTGGTTGCGGGCACATCCCCAGTAGGGGGTGTGCAAGAGGCAGCTGATCGATGACTCTCTCTCATCTTTGTTTCTAACTCTCTTATCTCTCTCCCTTCTTCTCTGTAAAATCAATAAAAATATATTAAAAAAAAAAAAAAAAAAAAGAACTGCAACCTGGGCCTGTGCCCTGACCAGGAATCTGGTGACTCCTGAACATGTGGCCAACTGAGCCACACCAGCCAGGGCTTCATTTTCTTGATAGCATCTTTTTGAAATACAAGAGTTTTAAATTTTGAATAAGTTTTTTTTTTTTTAATTACTCATCCTTTTGGAGATGTGTCTTTAAGAAATCATTACCCTAACCCGTTTGGCTCAGTAGATAAAGCTTTGGCCTGTGGACTACAGAGTTGGATTCCACTTAAGGGCATGTACCTTGGTTGCGGGTACATCTCCAGTACGAGGTGTGCAGGAGGCAGTTGATTGATATTTCTCTCTGATCAATGTTTGTAACTCTATCCCTCTTCCTTCCCCTCTGTAAAAAATCAATAAAATTGATTTTAAATATTTTAAAAAGTCATTACCCAAAGATCATGAAAATTTACTTCCTCCTAGGTTTCTTCTAAGAATTTTATAGTTTTAACTCTTACATTTAGGTCTGTGATCTATTTTGAGTTAGTTTTTTTGTATCTTGTGGAGTAGGGGTCAAAAGTAATTTTTACTTATGGTTATCCAATTGTCCCAGCATCATTTATTAAAAGATTTCTTTTTTCCGCATTGAATTTTCTTGGCCTCTGTAAAAAAATCAGTTGACTGTAAATGTCAGGATTTATTTCTGGGCTCTCAGTTTTATTTAATTGACTTGTATTATATGTCTGTGATATGCCATTACCAAACTCTTAATCTTTTTTTTTAATTTTTATTTTTTTATATTTTATTGATTTTTTTTTACAGAGAGGAAGGGAGAGAAGAGAAATAGAGAGCTAGAAACATCGATGAGAGAGAGACATCGACCAGCTGTCTCCTGTACACCCCACATGAGGGATGTGCCCTCAACCAATGTACATGCCCTTGACCGGAATCGAACCTGGGACCTTTCAGTCCACAGACCAATGCTCTATCCACTGAGCCAAACCGGTTTTGGCTCTTTTTTTTTTTTTTTTTTTTTTTTTTTTAATATATTTTATTGATTTTTCACAGAGAGGAAGAGAGAGGGATAGTCAGAAACATCGATGAGAGAGAATCATCGATCAGCTGCCTCTTGCACACCCCCTTTTGGGGATGTGCCTGCAACCAAGGTACATGCTCTTGATCGGAATCGAACCCGGGATCTTTCAGTCCGCAGACCGACGCTCTATCCACTGAGCCAAACCGATCTGGGTGACCAAACTCTCTTGATTGCTGCTGCTTTGTAGTACATTTTGAAATCAGGAAGTATCCGTCCTCCAACTTTGTTCTTTTTTTTTTTTTTTCCAAAATTGTTTAGCCTGTTTTGGTTACCTTGTTTTTTTGTGTGTATTTTAGGATCAGCTTAGAAAGGAACCTAGGATTTGGATAAGATTGAGTTGAATATATAGGTTAATTTGGTTATTATTGCCATCTTAACAATGTTAAGCCATCTGCACCATGAATATGGAATGTCTTTTGATTTAAGTCTTTATAAAATTTCTTTCAGTAATATTTTATAGTTATCCAGTGTGTAAGTCTTATACTTATTTTGTTAAATATTTTATTCTTTTGATACTATTGTGAATGGAGGTACCTTAATTTTATTTTTGAATCATTCATTGGTAGTGTATAGAAGGTTAACTAAATTTTGCACTTATTATCAGAATTAAATGTTTGGCCAGCATGACTCCTAACAATTTGAGAGTGTTGTTTAATTATTTTGATTTGATCAGCCACATTGTACACTGCAGTATCTTCAATTGGCTGGGGTTCCCTTAGGCTTAGTTAGGTTGTAATTACAGAGGTGTTGTCTCATAGAGTTATCTTAGTCTTGAGTATCAGAATAGCACTTTGCATAAAACATTGGATTTAGTAACACAGACTTAGAATGTAGTACCTTCAGTTTCATTATACACAAAATATATCTAATTAAAAAAAATTTTTTTTTTTCAGAGAGGAAGGAAGAGGGAGAGAGAGATCGAAACATCATTCATGTGAGAGAATCATTGATCAGCTGCCTCTTGCATGCCCCCCACTGGGATCGAGCCTGCAACCCTAGCATGTACCCTTTACTGCAATCAAACCCGGGACCTTTCAGTCCCTAGCCCTACACTCTGTCCACTGAGCCAAACCAGCCAGGGCTCCACAAAATATATGTAATTTTTGAAATAAAAATTACCTGGTTTTATTGGTAGATCATTGATGAGTAGCATCTGTACTTAGTTGTCATTTAAATTACAAGTATTTTTTGTGTACCATTTGCCATTAAAGTTTAGAGAATTTAATGTAAATAAGTAGATAAATAAGCATTTATCAAGCCACCCCTACTCCACATTTGCCATTAAAGTATAAAGAATTTTTAGTCAGGTTTATTTCATTTATTCTCCTTCAGTATTGGGATGAAGCATTAAATATTTTTATTTTATGTGTATGAGATGATTTATCTTTAAAACTTTAACATATTTTTCAGGGTCAGTTAAATGAAAGCATGGACCATGGGGGAGTTGGACCATATGAACTGTAAGTTTATATAAAAATATTTCATTGTTTTGTCTTTCTTACAAGTAGGTTTATCAACTCTAGTTCATAGCCATCACGTGATTCCTGCGACCTGTTCTTAAATAGCTAGTCTCATATATAGACTTAATTTATTGAGTTTGGCATTAGTATTGTAACATATCCAGGATTTTGAGATTATGTCTGGATTTTGAGAAAAAGATAATCATTCAGATTCAATGTATATTGAATATGAGTCTGAGTTTAATATAGAGAAACACATTTTCTTACTGAAAAATAAAATTATGAGAAATGCCACCAAAAGTCAAATAGTTCTTGTTTTGCTTATAATACACCATTCAAACTAGATTTGTGCAATCTAAAGTCATTTTAGGCACGCTCCATTAGGGGAGTGGCAGCTTGAGGGGAAACTGAGGAGTCTTTAAATCATGTTCATATAAGATATGGAAAGATGTGTAGCTATAGTGCATTAGCAAGAATTTATGTAGCATAAAGACTTGAACTAATTGGTATTTTTAGAATGTTTCTAGGTTTTCTGCTGAAGCTTCCAAATGAAGTTGGATTATGCCTGACCTTATAAAATATATATTTTATTGATTTTGTACAGAGGGAAAGGGAGAGAGATAGAGAGTTAGAAACATCGATGAGAGAGAGTCATCAGTCAGCTGCCTCTTGCACATTCCCTACCGGGGATATGCCCGCAACCAAGGTACATGCCCTTGACCGGAATCGAACCTGGGTCCCTTCAGTCCCCAAGCTGACGCTCTATCCATTGAGCCAAACTGTCCTGGCGGATTATGCCTGACCTTAATAGACATCTTGAATGAACTAATTTTGAATAACTGGAAGACTTTTCTTTTGTCAGCTTGATAAACTTGTTCTAATTTATCTTAGTTTGGGGGTGCTTGATGCTTGTGAAAATACTCGCCAGCACATTTTGTAAACTAGCAGATAAGTAAGCAATTTACCAAGCCACCCTAATCTTGACCTACCATGTCATTGAATCATGTTTACTTAGAACACAGAAACTAAATTTACTATCATATATTTTCCCCTTTTACTAAATTGGATTACATTTCTCTTTCTCCTCTTTCTAACAATATGCTGAAAGTAATTTAACTTTTTGCAAATTTACTTTTGGTTTTGCTTTTCTCCCCAGTGGCATGGAACATTGTGAGAAATTTGAAATCTCAGAAACTAGTGTGAACAGAGGGCCAGAAAAAATCAGACCAGAATGTTTTGAGCTACTTCGGGTACTTGGTAAAGGGGGCTATGGAAAGGTAGGAAGTGTTTTTGAAATGAGAGGTGTTGTCTGTCTTGGGTTGATTTTTTTATACCCTCTTTTCAGCAGTCCTCTTCAGTCTTTGTTTCAGTATTCCTCTTTAATCTTTGTTTACTAGCTATCAGCAAAGGATAAAATCACTTAACCCTGTATTATTTGAGGGATGTACAGTAGTTTTCCTACCAACACACATGTAAAAGCTTGGCACATAATTTAAATAGACAACTATGCCAGGCAAAATCTATTAGAGGATTCATTTCTTCCTTTGGTTTTAAATGGTACTCTCTGTAGGTATTCTCTTAAAAAATAAGCAAATCACTCCTTACTTTCAAAAGGCCTTGGTACAGTATCTGTTACTGTTATCTGTTAATCTGAATTGGTTTTCTTTGATTTGTAGTATCTGCCAAGTGCCATGTGGATATTTATAACATCATTTGTGGGCCATACAAAATTATCAACTTAAAATCATCCCGTTATATTCGGTCAAACAATTAACTCATCCCTAATGCCTTGGCAGGGCCAGATCATATATGGTCTGTGGGCTGGATGTTCCCCACCCCTGATCTAAAGCAAAAGTTAGAGAAGTTGAAGTATATAAGAAGGGAGAAGAAAAATGAACAGAACTTCATAGATTTTGCTCAAGGCTTTCTAATTTAAGACCCTCATTTTTGTGTGTTCTGCCCAAGGCAGTTTATACCTAGCCATTCTCTATCAAAGCTTGAGAACTGATTATGCTATTGTGTAGAGTTAATTTTTATAAAGCATGACTTTGTGTTTTATTCTTAGGTTTAAATATACATTCTAATATGTTCTAACCATCTTGAATATGTAACGCATGCACTTTGAATCTCATATTTTAGCTGTTGCATGAAAATGTTTTATAGCCAGCTATTTTAAGGGATAGGTAAACAGTAATTCCTGTCGATTCTTATTAAGTTGTTTGATGTGAAGCAAGAGCAGTGGCATTCTTGGAGGAACTTCATGAAATATTTTATAATTTTTTAAGTTTGGTATTATGCTTCTGGGAACCCTGATTATAGCTTTTTAAGCAAACTTGTATTTTATGTATAAACAGGGAGGGCTCATCATTAGATGATCATTGTCCAACTTTGCCATCTGATGTCAGCAGACCAAATAGGAAGGTCCTATTTTGTGGAACAGATTTCACTAAGCACAGAACTTCTTGGTACTAGTTTTTATAAGGATATAAATGACTGTATAATTTTTTTTCTTATAAATGGGAATTAAGGGAATGTGGCTAGCATAGTTTAGCCTTTAATAACACCCAAACACTTTTATTTTTTATACAGGTTTTTCAAGTACGAAAAGTAACAGGAGCAAATACTGGAAAAATATTTGCCATGAAGGTGCTTAAAAAGGTGATACCTTCCCTCCTCTTCCCCCAAACTATAGTCTTAATTACTATAAAATCCACATTTTGACTTTAAAATTCTCAGTCAATAAATATTTCTTACACAATTGTAAGTCCTCTTAGAATGTGAGATATGTTTGATTATTATTATAACTATTTTCTATTTGGTGAGGGTAGAAAGGAAAACTCTTTCAATTCTCTGATGTAACTCTTTTATCTCTTTGTTCTGGTCTACATATTTCTAAGTAATTTAGAATATCCAGCTATCATTGAATGCATCCATTTTAGAATTATGTACAGAATTCCTATTTTACTTTTTTTTTTAACCCCATCTCCCCTTTATCCTGCCCTCTCATTTTGCTTCACTTTCATTGAATCTACTATTGTTTTCCCATACCTTCCAACAACTCTGTAAAGCATCTTTGAGGCTAATATTCTGTGGTCCAGCTTATTAGATATTCTATCAGTTCTAGGCATAATTGTCATTATTGGACTTTATCATAAGTCTTGGAATTCTCTTAACTCCTTCGGTGTTGGATTCTTTCTTTCCTGGGTCCTATATCTTCCAGTATCAGTGTGTGTAGGTCCATTGGTAATGATCAATTGGTGCTGAGAAATTCTTTTGCCTACAAAAAGCATTCTGGAGCTAGATTCTTTTGCCTACAAATTCTTTTGCCTACAAAAAGCATTCTGGAGCTAGACGAGAGAAAGGAGATGGAGATCTCACATTTCCACGCTAATACTTGCACTGAAGTAGTTTTTACTTTAGCACTCAGTCTTACTAATCCTTCACTCTATTTTTTCTGGAAAGTACACCTTTGAGTGAGTAGTTCCCTGACTGGTTAGTGTAGGGATGGGAACCTTGTTGATGTATCTGTTCCTTACACAGACTTTCAGATAATCTTCCTGTTTTTAGTCCTCCGTCCTCCATCTTCTGCCTGCTGCAGGCCCTGATGACTGATTTTTTTCCCCCCACTTTCTTTTTATTTTTGCCTCTAATTTTTGAACACTGCTAGGTTTCTGTCAATGAAATGAACTTATTTTGAGTTATTCCTCTTGGGCAGGCATTCAGGTTTGATGACACTCTACTAAATCATGTACTATTGCGTTATCTTCTTTCCACCTTTTTTTGAGGTATAGAGTTACTTATGTTTCCTAGTTTTATTGAAGATGGATTATGCGTGTTTGGTTTCTTCTTCTTTTTGTTTGGGATTAATTTCTGAAAAGATCACATTGTCTTAAAGCAAGGGTTACTTGAAAACTATTAAAAGATCACTAAAATTATTTTTTGAAAAAAGTATATATTTTTGTTGTTTTTTAATTGATTTCAGAGAAGAAGGGAGAGGGAGAGAGATAGAAACATCAGTGATGAGAGATACACTTCAATTGGTTGTCTCCTGCAAGGGCCGGGGATCAAGCCTGCAACCAAGATACGTGCCCTTGGCTGGAATTGAACCCGGGACTTTTCAGTCTGCAGGTCAGTGCTCTATCTACTGAGCAAACTGGCCAGGGAAATTATGGTTTTTAATGCTTTTTTTTTTTTTTTTAATATATTTTTTATTGATTTTATACAGAGAGGAAGGGAGAGAGATAGAGTTAGAAACATCGATGAGAGAAAGTCATCGATCAGCTGCCTCTTGCACATCCTGTACTGGGGATATGCCTGCAACCAAAGTACATGCCCTTGACCAGAATCGAACCCAGGACCCTTCAGTCCTCAAGCCAACGCTCTATCCATTGAGCCAAACCGGTCCCGGCTAATGCTTTGGTTTTTACTTTCTTGATTTTCACTTAAGATATAAATAACTTCTTAAACTTAAAAGCTGAGGAACATACTATGGCCACATAGTATTGGTGATTGTTGGTGATTTTTTTAAAGAAGCAATTTAGGTATTCTAAACATCAGTTTCTACATAAGCAAGTCAGGATTAATCTGCTGTCTGGCTTTCCCGTTAAAATAATTTGAGATGAATGATTTTTTAAAAAAAATCTGTAAACCATATTAGGTGTAGAACTGAAGACAGTATAATAATACTTGTTCTAAGAATGTTAAAAGAAATTCTGGTCAAAATTGTTAGAGTAATTCATTCCTTTTGACATGTTGCTTATTCATGTCTAGTCATCAGGGCTGACCATAATTAGTCATAATTATACCTTGAGTGAGGTATGTTTCTGGCCCTTGTATCTGTAATGAAAAGAAGAGGTTGTTTTTCCCCTCACTTTGGTGGGTGGGTGTGGAGTATTGGGAAAGCCATAGATTTAATTACTGCTAACTGTCAGGCTTCCTTTTTGGGCCCAGGCATCTAAGACCTAACTTGCTTGCCTCTCCCTTCACTTAACTACAACTCCTCTCCTCTTTCAGGGTTTTCCTTTACCCAACCCTAGCTAGAAAACCAGATACTGTCCCAATCTTTCTTTGGTGTGCATGGAAGCTCACAGGAAAAATAATGTAAGAGAAGAGGTTGCTAGGGTTAAGCCCAGGGTTTTAATTCCTAAATCCCTAGCTAAGATGACTATGTTGCTCACTTTGAGTTTCTTCCTTCTAATTTTTGTTTGTTTGTTTATTTTAATCCTTACCCAAGGATATTGAATTTATTGGGATGACATGGGTTAATTGTTTTAAATCATGGCTTCATAATGATATCCCTAATTCCAGTCTAATTTCATTGGGTTCTTTTGCCCTAATTCTATATTTACATTTCTGGTTTTCCATAGTGAGATGCCTCATGGTATCAATAAATTTACTCATTTGCTCAGTTGCATGATATATGCATATTAGTTTGAGAATGCCAATACGATGAACAAATACAAACCCACTAAATGTGGTTTAAGATTTCTTAAGTACAGCATAGGAAATATATAATAAATAATATTGTAATAACTTAATCAGCTTAACAATAACCCACAACCTTTGGACCAACTGTAATAACTTAAGTATGATGCCAGATGGGTATTGGAAATATCAAGAAGAACACTTTATAAAGTATATGATTGTGTAACCACTGTGCTATACACCTGAAACTAATACAAAATAATATTGAATGTAAACTGTAATTGAAAAAGAAAATAAGACCTACTTACAGGTTTCTTTCTGAGTGAAATATAAGGCATCCCCCCAAAAAATAAGGCCCCCCTAGGCTCTGTCTTAGAAACTTTGAGAAACCTAAACTGCAAAAAGTTGTGACTTGGGTGAAGAATTCATGGGAGAAAATCACTGACAGTTGCATTGCAAATGCACTGCGAGCAGGCTACCTTGACAAGAAGTACTCATTTAAAGACAGTGCTATTGCTAAACATGAGAGATTTGGTCCACTGATTCTGAAAGAAATGGAGTCACAAGAAATTCACCAGGAAATTCAGGAATTGGATTGTTATGATGATGTTCCAGAAGATAATGACATGATTGTCATTGAATAAATGAGTAAATTCTTGATACTGTAGGATTCACAGTTTGTCTGGTATGTGTTGACAACTACCGTACTAGCGTACCGTATACAGGTAATAAATTACCTTTATTTTCATTTAACAATAAATGTGTACCATATTCTTCTTCATGGAAAAATAAGATATCCCCTGAAAATAAGACCTAGTGCATCTTTGGGAGCAAAAATTAATATAAGTCACTGTCTTATTTTCGGGGAAACAGGATATATATATGTATAACATATCACTTAAATATATTTTTATCTACTGTGGTAAGCTTTTTTCCCCCCTTGTCGAAACAAGTCCACCAAAAATTAGATGGCCTCCCTAAAAAAATGGAAGAGAGAGAGGGTGTGATAAGCTTTTTAATGTAACATTTAATTAAGTATATGTATTTCTGTTATATTCACTTTTATTTCCCTCCACAATCCTTGTTGATTTAATTTTATTTGTTAAATGTATAAAATTATTAACATAGTTCAGAATTCATAATCTCCATTTTATAATCATAGTAATATTTGATTTAGGCCAGAAAAAAAATGAATGAGAAAATCATTAAGGCATTACTCAGAAAGCATATCTCATTTCCTTTCCTGCCATTCTATTGTCATTAGCTTAGGTTTATCTTAGTTGTGTTTTATAATTGCAGGTATAAGCAGATACATATATATTTTTAATTCCCCTTTCTTACACAGAATGGTAGCATACTGTGTGAACTGTCATAGAGATGTTTCCATTCTTTGTACAGCTTTTTTCTCAGTGTGTAACTAGTCCATAGGTTTTCAGCCAATATTTTATGCACGGGCTTTTAGTTTGTTTCTAATGTTTCACTTGTACAAATAATATTGCAACTAATAACCTTCTGTACATGCTTTTTCATGTTGCTGGAGGTGCACCCCCCAAACTTTTTTCTTTCCTTCCATTCCCCATTATTAAATGACACCATTATCCTATTACTTAAATAGAAACCACAATATCATGATTTCTTCTCATAGCTAGATAGTCAGCAAATGCGAATTAATGTATTTTTACCCTTTTTAAAAAAAAATTTTAACTTTCGTTTTTCTAAGTTACAGGTCTGAGTTCTTGCTTAGTTTACTGTACTGGCCTCCTAACAGCTCTCATTTCATTTCTCCTGTAGAACTCAACATTGTTACTAGAACTATCTTTCTGAAAGGCAAGTGCTTTTCATTTCCCTTACCTCAACATTTCTCCTCTGCCTCTCAGATAAGATTCAAGCGTCTTTGCTTAGATGCCCAGGCCTTCCATTTCCTGGCCTCCACCTACATCTTCCACCTAATCTCTAACTTCTTCTAACCATACTGAACTACTTTTAGAGTTGCTAGACACATCTTGTCTTGTCAAGCCTCTTTTGCACTGGGAATGCTTTTTTATGTCCTCCACATTTTGTCTTAGTAACTTTTCATGATATAGCTTAGGTACCACCACCTCAAGGAAGACTTCTCCAGGTCAAAGTGCCATTTTCTTGTTGACCCATAACATCTTATGCTTACCTCTATTGACTTATCTCTCTTCCCTGAGACTTTGAGCTCCTGTGATCTAGAGACCCCTTCCGTTAGTTCTGCTTTCTTGTTACAGAGACTGGAGCATAGTAGACATTCAACAGTTAATGAATATCTGAATAAACAATCTTTTTACACTTTTAAAGAAGTATCTTTAGGTTTGCATATACATGTTCACTTCAAAAAATCCGAACAGTACAGATATATATATATGAAGTACATGTCTTCCTATCACAATTTTTAGTGGTAATTACAATTAATAGTTTCACATTGGCAAGAAAAGCACAAATTAGATTTTCCAGTTACTATAGAATCAAGTGTCTACTGTTTTGTTCTTATAGATCATGTCTTTTCCTTTAGGCAATGATAGTAAGAAATGCTAAAGATACAGCTCATACAAAAGCAGAACGGAATATTCTGGAGGAAGTAAAGCATCCCTTCATTGTGGATTTAATTTATGCCTTTCAGACCGGTGGAAAACTCTACCTCATCCTTGAGTATCTCAGCGGTCAGTACACACAGTTTGGTGTAATTATTGCATTTGCTCCAGAAACTGGGTCAAAACATAATTTTTCAATGGAAAAAATGCTTTTTCCTAATGTGATCAAATAGCTCTTAAAATTGATGAATACATTGCCATAAAGAATTCAGATGTGACCAAGTGTTTCTTTTTGCAGACAAATATGAAGGAAACTTTAAAGAATAAGTTTTTTTCCTCCCTTCTGTAAAATTTTATCTTAAATCCTTTGTAATCAGTTACTTAACAAAATAACAAATACCTAATTAAAGTGCCCATCAAATTGACTGGGTAATATACTATAATTGGATAAGATATTATAACTCAAATAAATCATTTAAGTATTTCTTTCTAAACTGAAGTAGAAAATACTAATAGTATTAAGATATTGAGTATTTTTGGAAATTTGTCTTAAAACAAGTATTTTGGGTTGCTGTAGTCTTATTAATATGCGTTTAGATTAGAAATTACCCACATTTTCCAGGGTTTACCACCTCCTAGAAACTATTTGCTCCACATACCATTTCTGGCTCACAGCAAACACACACATTTGAGTTTTCTAAAAAATAAGATGTTTCCCAGTAGCATGTAACATGGAACAGAAAGCTTTAGAATTTAGTAACTTTTTTGTGACATTTGCCAGTTTTCTCCTGTAACTTAATTTTGACATAATTTCAAATTTACACAAAAATTTACAAGAATAGTACAATTCCCACATACCCTTCACCTAGATTCCCCAAGTATTATCATTTTACCACAATGTTTTGTTTCATCCGTGTCTTTTTCTTTCTCTTTATGTATATGTATATATGTGTGTGTATATATGTATAGATACACACATGAATACATATATACATAGTTCTTTTCTGAACTATTTAAGAGAGTGTTTTTGTCATGATTTTCCTTTGCCCCTAAATACTTTAGTGTATATTTTCTAAAATCAAAGATAGTATCCTATATACATAACTATACTAAAATTATTAAAAATAGGAGATTGACATTGATACAGTAATATGTCAGTTTTCTTTAATCTGGAACAATTCCTCAGTCTTCTTTGTCTCTCATGACCTTGGCATTTTTGATAAGTACAGGCCAGTTATTTTATAGACTCCATCAATTTGTGCTTATCTGATGTTTCCTCAGGATTAGTTTCAGGTTATGCATTTTGGGGAGTACCATCCAAATGACACTGTTTCCTTCTTCATGCATCAGATCAGGAGGTACATGATACATGTCCCATTACTGTTGATGTTAACTTTGATCACATGTATAAAGTGGTGTCTGCCAGTTTTTATCCTGTTGAGGTTTTCCCTTTGTATTTAATAAATATCATGAAAAGATATTTTGAGGTTACTTAAATATCTCGTCTCATCAAACTTTTCACATATGGTTTTAGCATCCATTGATTCTTGCCTAAAACAGTTAACTCTGATGGTTGTCAAGTGACTTCTTATTCCATCATATCTACTTTATTTGTTATTTGGCATTCAGCTGTAATGATGAGCTTTCCCGTCCCCTCCATTGAAAAAATTAAGACTTATTTATCTGTTGATTTATATCACTGTGGACTCATGGATTCTAAGATTATTCAGTGGGCTATAACCCTTTATTATCACTTATTTTGATACTCAAATCGTGCCATGCTTTTTAGAAAGCTGCTGCCAGGTACTTTTACAGTTTAAGTTATGAGGCTATGGGCATTCGCTGACTTTGCAAAGATGGTTTTAATTATATACTAACATTTATTCACTTACAGGTAAAATGTTAGAGAAGTTTTAATCAAGATTTTTTTTTAACTCAAGTCTGGAATCTATAAAAAATTTTAAGTTCATACATATAAAACCTAGAATTCCAAAACTTAAATATTTCACATAAGAGTGGGAACACTGTTAAAAATAGGATCCTGAGGTCTTAGTTTTAAAACTATAATTTTTAGAATCTGTTTTTTATTTTTAAGGAGCTGATGTCTTTTAATTATGGTTAAAAGGAAAGCACAGACCCTCTCATTAGAACTGGGTTGGAAATAAAGATTGTTATATTTCTAATGTCTTTTTTGTTTCTTTACAGGAGGAGAATTATTTATGCAGTTAGAAAGAGAGGGAATATTTATGGAAGACACAGCCTGGTAAGTGAAATTTTTATGGTTGCATGGATTCAGGTAATGTTAAAGCAAAGCCTTATTCCCACTGTGGGCAGCCAAATGACTCAATAAATTGTTTGGGAGCCATTCAGTCACTTAGGACTTAAAGGGGGAGAAGCAACTGTGGGACTGGGCAGCTTTTGGAGGTCACATCATTCCTTTGCCTCCAGGCCTTGGGTGCAACGCTCTTCACACCAGTTCCTAACAGAACCATTCTCACTGGGGCTTTCTTTCCTTGAATTGGTAAGCTGCCTGCCTTGGTTGTGGGTGAGTTTGATTTTCCAGTGAAATTTTATGTGTGGAAGAATGGAAAGTATCAGCAATCACCACCTTTTTTTTTAGACTTTCCAGTTCCCAAGGGGCAGTCTTAGGCAGGTGTTAAGCCTGCACGTATCATATGTGGATTGATTCTATGGCCAGGATGGGGGTCTGCCTTCCTATTTCTTCTGTACACATTCTTTTGTGAAATGATAGTACTGGGTAACAATAAATCAGTTGATCCTACACAATAATTGAATAGAAAACACTTAAATGTTTTTTTTACCTTAATTACCAAACTGCATTCCATTGTTTAATTTCAGGCCTTTTCTAACACAGAAGCTGCATTTAAGAGCCTTAGGGATGAAGTGCCCTTTTTTGGAGGAGGCTCTCTGAGCCATGTTGGAGGCTGTTTGGGGTCGTGCTGGCTGTGAAACTGCCTCAGTCCTCTAGGACACACCCTCTCCATCCTGGAGTAATCTGCAGGATTGCAACATTGTTATGCAGCCAGTATTGCAGTGCCTTGTGCTTTTCGAATCCAGACAGTGTTGACTCAGCCCTTTATTCTTTTGAGGTAGATAAATTTGAGTGTCACACAGTTTATAGTTGTGGGCTGTCTGGCAAGAGGGTGGGTAGATACTGTGGGCATGTACTATGTATAAATAATGCAGCTTTATTAAGAAAGGGATGAATGGGCTTCTAAGAATCAGGTTATATATAAGGTATCTTCTCAAACTAAGATTTGCTCTTTGAGAATAACAAAATTCTTATTTCCTATGGGATTTTAAAATTGGGGGTGGGTGGGAGAAATTTGTTTTGATCTGAATGACTATTGACCTAGTTCCTACACAGACAGAACAAAACATTGACCAGTAACAGTTTGGCATATTCTGGACTTCTTTGCAATTTTAGCAATATGTTCTAATGATGAAATAAAATATTTTATAGTTTCACAAAAAAGTGAAACATGTCTTCATGCCTTTTGGCAGCATCTTATGCCATCTCTTTCCCTAATATTCCTCCTGCCACTAATTTGGTCTTTGGTGCATGTCTATTTCTTCCAAGGTATTTTGCTCCATACATAAAACTGCTTTGAATAGATTACTCTTTTTAATTTTTATTAAATCGCTTTTGTTTCCAGCTTTTACTTGGCAGAAATTTCCATGGCTTTGGGGCATTTACATCAAAAGGGGATCATCTACAGAGACCTGAAGCCGGAGAATATCATGCTTAATCACCAAGGTGGAGATATACTGTAAACAATTCTATAGTAAATAACCAACTTAAAATCCTCCCACACAGGTCATGGTCATTTTCAAAGGCCCATATTCACATGTCTATTATTATGTACATTCTTCCCTCAGAACTTAAATGACATCATGATATTTGCTGAGATTTAAATATTTAGGTATTTGTGGTTGATGAGGTTAAAGGGAGTTGAGGATAACTGGTCACTATACTACATTTTTTAAATTCTTACTTTTTATAGCTTATCATTTTTAAAAAATCCTTACATAAAATGTGGTGTGCCAAAGCCAGTCCAAACACAAATTTTAGTTTATTCCTTAAATTGGAAAGTGAATCTAACTTTACATTTTGGGTTTTCTTTAATGATGAAAATACATAATTATTAGAAGCAGTACTTTTATATGATAATTTTTATTAATGCTATAAAAAAGGACAGGCTTAGAATTGAACCAAAATAATTGATGTAGCTTTGTAAATAAAATACTTAGTAGGCATCAGGTTTTTCTTGCTGTTCAGTTGTAACAAAAAAACATAAAAATCAGATATTAATATTCTGTATAGCTATAAGGCCTTGATTATAACCGCATGCTGCTGCAGACAGTTTAGTTTATGTGAGAGTAATCTGGGCTGGGTAGACTTGGCAGTTCAGTTCACTCATACTCCAAAGGAGTAACCAGCTAACCAGGCTATCCAGGGGGCTGCTGATCCTTAGATGTCTACAAAGTGATGCACAAGGTAGTTAACAGTTTTAAATCCTTAGGCAGAAAATGGTGTGTGGACAACTAATACCTGTATAAATGTTTCAAATTGTGCTCCCCTCTTCTTTTCCCCTTGCCCCCCAATTTTCAGAGAGAGAGAGAGAGAAGAAGAGATAGAAAGAGAAATATTGGCCAGTTCCTCCCATACACACCTAACTGGGGATTAGACCTGAAACCTGGGCATGTGTTCTGACTGGAATCGAACCTATGGCCTTTTGGTTATAAGATGATGCTCTAACCAACTGAGCCACACCAGTACCTTTTCTTTTTTCTTTATTTTGTTTTTTTAATGGAGATACACTATATTTAACCAAGTACAACATGGGAATATGTATTTCCCTCCCTCCCAGTTCTGCACACATGGATACTGATTCTGAATTATAAAGCAAAGGATAGAATAGGGAAGTGACTAGTTAACTTTTTTGATTCATAAGCTTGAGTGTGTCAGGTGGTTCTGTGAAAAGAAAGGTCATACTTCTGTGTCAGAGTAAAATACACATTTACATTTGAATCAACAGGCCGTTGCCTTTTATTTTTTCTGAAATAAACCTGGAATAATAGGGTCTTTGGGATTGTTGAACCACTGGATATCTAGTGACAGTCCAGGAAAGCTGAACTTGAATTGAAATATTCTTTGTAAGGTGTGAGTTTATCACTTGCCTGAACTGAGATGATGGTCCCATGGCATGTAGCAATTTTATTTCTTTTTCTGAACGGGTAGTATATTGGCAGGATGATTTAATTTGTTATTGTGACTTAAAAGTTATCAAGTCACAGTAATAAAAGCTACATATATTTGAAGTATGGGTTCATACCTTTGTTTAAAAGATGCAGAATGTCTTTATTAGGTTGGTGTGTTTAAACCAAACTTCACCAAGTTTTTCCAGAAATTACTTTCTCAGGATGGTAGAGGATTCCAGATATAGGTGAAGCTAGTACCTTAGACAAGCTGTTTCATGCTTTTATCCACCCCCCCCTTTCTAGATAGATATTATCATTGGTAAAAGATGAATCTGCCCTAACCTTAGAGTTAACATCCTATTTTATGGAGGGCACTTCAGTAGTTCTTGATAACTTCAAAAAATGAAAGCAGAAAAAATTAAATGGAAGGATAGATTATTATCTTGTATGTTTAAACACCATCTAAACCTTAGATTTCTCAGAATAACCATGCTATAACCTTTCATTTGCAGGTCATGTGAAACTAACAGACTTTGGACTATGCAAAGAATCTATTCATGATGGAACAGTCACACACACCTTTTGTGGAACAATAGAATACATGTGAGCTGCGTGTTGAAAGAAATATAACTGGTTTGGGGGTAATAGCTATCTTTTACCTGGTTTAAGTAATAGTGTGCTAAATTTTCTGTAGCATCATTTGGCTTCATAATTTTGTTTTAGAAACTTATTCAGATGATATGCAAATGGATGCATTTTTGGGGAAAATTGTTTTTCTTGTTGTAGGGCCCCTGAAATCTTGATGAGAAGTGGCCACAATCGTGCTGTGGATTGGTGGAGTCTGGGAGCATTAATGTATGACATGCTGACTGGAGCAGTAGGTGCACAGTTAAAAGCTGCATGTGTTATGTATTGTCTGTGCTGAGTTTATTATTAAATCCCCATAGCAAGAGATCTTTCCTTTACTCCTTGAAAATATTACCAATGAAGTTATTTTTTAAAATTTAGCACAAAAAATGCTTTATTAGCAGTAAGTAACATGGGTCCCTTTATTTTTGAATAATTTTCATTGAAATGATCTATGTCATGGAAGTCCTCTGAAATAGATATAAAATAGATATGGCCCTTATTTTATAAATGGAGAAAGTGAAGCATAAAATTACATAATTACATTATCTCACAGTTAATGTTGGAATCTCAGTTTCTTTCAGGACATTGCTGTTTCTCCTGTCCTGGTGTTTAAAACTACAGTCTTTAGTAGTCCTCATACATTTCTGACCTCTGTGAATAACCGAGAAATTCAGGAAATGTATAATTCTGTTATTTAAATTTTTATTTTTCACATGCTAATTTTTCTCACTCTCTTCTACTCTTAGCCACCGTTCACTGGGGAGAATAGAAAGAAAACAATTGACAAAATCCTCAAATGTAAACTCAATTTGCCTCCCTACCTCACGCAAGAAGCCAGAGATCTGCTTAAAAAGGTAGGATTCTTAAGTAGACACTGAAATCATAAGCCTTAACTACTAGAATTTAAATAGAATTAAATATACATTTTGAATAAGAATCATGCACAAATATTGAGTAAAAAAGTCTATAGATTTTGTAGGGAAAGTATAAATTTATTTAAGGTTTTCTTTTCTTTTTATCCAAACAATATTTATTTTCCCAAGGCAAAATAGATAAGTAAAATCTATAAAGAAAAAATAATCAGTTTGACTAAGTTCATCAGTGTTTTTTCCTTCTCTCTAAAGCTGCTGAAAAGAAATGCTGCTTCTCGTCTGGGAGCTGGTCCTGGGGATGCTGGAGAAGTTCAAGTAGGGACTGGCCTGCTTGGGGTTGGAGGGGAAGATAATGCTAATGTTACGTTTTGTGCAGGTTGTATATAGTTGCTTACAAGTATTGTTTATTTTGTGATCAGTGTGTTCAAGAAGGCAGTGTCAATCCAGTGAAGTCTATTTCCCTTGACTTCTTTCTGCGCTCTTTTTTCTAGGCTCATCCATTCTTCAGACATATTAACTGGGAAGAATTGCTGGCTCGGAAGGTGGAGCCCCCCTTTAAACCTCTGTTGGTATGTATACATGAAATCATATGATTTGAGGGATCTGGTACATTTTTAAAATAAAATCTCAGAGCCATCAGAAACAATTTTTTTGTTGTTATTGTTAATCCTCAGTCGAGGATATTTTTCTATTGATTTTTTAGAGAGAGTGGAAGGGACAGAGAGAGAGAGACATTGACGTGAGAGAGACACATCAGTTGGTTGCCTCCCCATGCACCCGAACCAGTGCCAGGGCTGGGGATTGAGCTTGCAACTGAGGTATGTCCCCTTGATTGGAATCGAATTCCAGACCCTTCAGTCAGCCAATGCTTTATCCACTTAATTAAACCAGCTAGGGCTCACTTTTTTGTTTTGTCTTATTTTAAATTTGATTTCCTGGGAATTTTTTTCTTCAGAATGGAAAATATGTTTTCTAGGATTGCAGCATCCAACTACCACAAACTTGGTGGCTTAAACCATAGAAATTTATTTTGTTATAGTTCTGGAGGCTAGAGATCTGAGATTGAGGTATTGGCAGAGTTGATTCCTTCTGAAGGCTATGAGAGAGATTCTGTTCCATGCCTTTCTCCTAACTTCTGGTGGTTTGCTGGCTGTCTTTGGCTTCCTTGGTTTGTAGAGACATCACCTCAATCTCTGTCTTCATGTTCACCTGGGATTCTCCTTGTGAGAATGTGCAGGTCTGAGTCCACATTTTCCCTTTTTATAAGGACACCAGTGATATTGAATTAGGATACTCCCTGCTCCAGTATGACTTCTTCATAACAAATTACATCTGCAATGGTTTTCATTCCTAATCCGGTCATATTCTGAGTTACTGAGAGTTAGAACTTAACATATGAATGTTGGGGCTGGGGCAGGAGTCAATTCAAACCATAATAATATGTTTATGAGTAAATGAGTTACTGTGTTAGTTTTTGCCTTTCTACCACATCAGAATTAAAGAAAATGGTTTCTTTTTCTATTCTTGGGATGAAGGTGGAGGAGGATAATGATGATAATTATTTGGTCCTTGGAGCAAACAAGTTGACTTGCTTTAAGATTTCTATATATATAATTATAAGGATGATAATTAGCCCTCATGTACCAACTGCTCAACTTCAAAAGTTGTCAGGTCATCTTGTTTAAACATATACATGCTGTCATCACCATTAAAAAATTGAAAAAAAATTTTTTTTTTCCCTGTTGGTTTGCTTCAGTAAGGATTCAATCAAGGCCTGTATAGTTTTGTTACTATGGCTCTTAGGTTTCTTTCCATCTATAGATTCCCCCCTCTTAATTCCTCTCTTGAGGACTTATTGGAAAAAACAACACAGGACCATTTGTCCTATAGGGTCCCTCACATTTTGATTTTTAAAATTTTAACTCAATGGTGTTATTGACCTTGTTCATCTGTTCCCGGTATTTCTGAAAACTGGTGGTTAGATTTAGATGCAGGTCAGATTAAACTTTTGAGGTTGTATATCTTGATCAGGAGACATATGTATATTTGTATTTCTTTTGTGATGTTAGTGGTCATTTGTCATTGTCTACATCACTGGTTCTCAGCCAGGGTCAGCATGGCAATATCTGGAACAGGTTGCTACAACTTGGGAAGGGGGTGCTACTAGTACCTAGGAATAGAAGCCAGAGATGCTCCAAATATTCTTTTTTTTTTTTTTAATTTAATCTTTATTCAGTTTATTACAATTGTTCCTCTTTTTCTCCACATAGCTCCCTTCCACCTGGTTTCAACCCCACTCCATGCCCTTATCCCTCCCTCCACTGTTCTTGTCCATAGGTGTAAGATTTTTTTTCAGTCTCTTTCTGCACCCCTCACACCCCCTTCCCCGCCAAGAATTGTCAGTCCACTCCCTTTTTATGCCCCTGATTCTATTACATTCATCAGTTTATTCTCTTCATCAGATTTTTTATTCACTTGATTTTTAGATTCACTTGTTGATAGTTATGTATTCGTTGTCACTTTGTTGTTCATTATTATCTTTACCTTTTTCTTCTTTTTCCTCTTCTTAAAGAATACCCTTCAGCATTTCATATAATACTGGTTTGGTGATGATGAACTCCTTTAGTTTTTTCTTATCTGAGAAGCTCTTTATTTGACCATCAATTCTAAATGATAACTTTGCTGGGTAGAGTAATCTTCGTTGTAGGTTCTTGCTATTCATCACTTTGAATATTTCTTGCCACTCCCGTCTGGCCTTCATAGTTTCTGTTGAGAAATCAGCTGATAATCGTTTGGGTGCTCCCTTGTAGGTAACTGTTTTTCTCTTGCTGCTTTTAAAATTCTCTTTGTCTTTTGCTCTTAGCATTTTAATTATGATATGTCTTGGTGTGGTCCTTTTTGGATTCCTTTTGTTTGGGGTTCTCTTCGCTTCCTGTTTCTTTCAGGTGGGGGAAGTTTTCTGGCATTATTTCTTCAAAGATACTTTTCAGTATCTTGCTCTCTCTCTTCTCTGGCACCCCCATAATTCTGATGTTGGTAACCTGGAGGTTGTCTCAGAGGCTCCTTACACTATCTTCATATTTTTTTATTCTTTTTGCTTTTCTGGTTGGATTTTTTTGCTGCTTTGTATTTCAAAGCTTTGACTTGATTCTTGAGATCCTCTAGTCTGCTGTTGGATCTCTGTATATTATTCTTTATTTCAGTCAGTGTATGCTTAATTTCTGATTGGTCCTTTTGTATATCATTGAGGGTCTCACTAAATTTCTTGGAGGTTTCTAGAAGATTCTTGAGTAACTTTATAACTGTGGTTTTGAACTCTATATCCAGTAGTTTGCTTTCTTCCATTTCTTTCATTTGTGACATGTTTCTTTGTCTCTGAATTTTTGCTGCTCCCCTGTGTTGATAGAATGGCCTTGTGTGCTAAGGCCCAGTGGCTCAGCCTCCCCAGTTCCTGGGGTGAACATTCTTGGTGCACCCCTTTGTGGGCTGTGTGCACAGTCTTGTTGTAGTTAAGCCTTGATTATTGTTGGTATCACTGGGAGGAATTGACCTTCAAGTCAACTGGCTGTGAGGACCAGCTGTGTCTACAATGGGAGAACTGCTGTGCTGGAGATACCCTTATGGGGCAGGACTTGTTTCAGTGGAGCTTTGGTGCTCACTGAGTCTGCCCCTTGAGTGTGTCAGTTATGGATATGAAGAGTTGTAATCTGGTATGATCTCATACTGACCACTGGGTACACTGGCTCTTGGACCTCCAAGGAAGTGCAAAGTCAGCCACTGCCTGAGGCCACCCAGCAGGAGCTACAGAAAGATCTGCAGATTCCTCTTCTTTGTTGGGGTTTGGAAGTGCCAGATGAGGCCCAGCTGTGAAGCAATGCAGGCTGCCGCTGCAGGCCTTCTTTTAGATGTTTTGGAGGTCTCTGACCCAGCTACAGTTTGTTAGGTTTTAGTTTGCAAGAGGGACAGGCCGTTCATATACAAAAGCTGCTTGGGTGGTGTTGTAAATTGGGAATCACCAGGGTGAAGCAGAAAGCAATGGCTGCCAGTCCGCCTTGCCCCAGAGAGGTCCCCAGGTCTCTGTGTCCCTCGGCTCCATTCAGGAACAGTGATCACTGCGAGCACCTCTGAGAGAAAGCCACCCTCGCATTCTTGCCCCGTGCCAGACAGTCCAGTTTCAAGTCTGGGTCCTTGGAGTCTCACCTGGAATTGGAGTTAAGAGCAGTTGGAAGCTTGTATCTCCCTTCTGATTGAAAAAACAAAACAAAAAAGAAACGGCGCATCCAGTTGCCAGCCCGCCTCCATACCTCTGCACTTCCGCACCTCAGCACCCGCTGCCAGTCTCAATGCGCTTTTTTCTTTCCTTCTAGTTGTAGAACTTCCACTCAGCCAGGTTTCCCATGCTTCTGGATGATATTTATTTTCTTTTTGTTGGGAGTTTTGATGTGGTTGTGAGAGGCAGCAAGGAAATACAGGTGTTTACCTATGTTGTCATTTTGGTTGTTCCTCCCAAATATTCTATAATGCACAGGACAGCCTTCTATAAGAATGCAGGTCCAAAGTGTCAATAGTACCAATGGTTCCAGTGTCAATGGTTCCAGGATTTCATTAGGGGTTTGTAAAATTGTTTTATTATAATATTGTTATTCATTCTTATTATTTATTCATTCTTTACTGGGATTCTTCCAGAAGAAGAAATTCTTTACATCAGTTGCTTGATTACATGAGCTAAAGTTCATATAGGAAAAGCAGGATATGTGGCCTTTTTCAAAATAATTAGTTTCCTAACATCTTCCAAATTGACCAATGAATTATGTGATTTTTAAATGTAGTGCAATAATGAACTCATGTCTTTGAACATAATTATGTTTCACCCTGCTTGAGAGGCTCAGTGGTTGAGTGTTGACCTATGAATCAAGAGGTCATGGTTCAGCCGGGACCGGTTTGGCTCAGTGGATAGAGCGTCGGCCTGCGGACTGAAAGGTCCCGGGTTCGATTCCGGGCAAGGGCATGTACCTTGGTTGCGGGCACATCCCCAGTGGGGGGTGTGCAAGAGGCAGCTGGTCGATGTTTCTCTCTCATCGACGTTTCTAACTCTCTGTCCCTCTCAATTCCTCTCTGTGTAAAATCAATAAAATATTAAAAAAAAAAAAAAGGTCATGGTTCAAATCCTGCAAGGGCACATGCCTGGGTTGTGGGCTCAATCTCTACTGTGGAGTGTACAGTACAATGATTCTCTCTCATCATTGATGTTTCTATCTTTCTCTCCTTCTTCCTTCCTCTCTGAAATCAATAAAAACATATTTTTAAAAAACATACATATTTGTTTCAATCCATTGCATTTTTTGGAATTGGTGTTCAGCTTTTGAGAATTATTTAAGACTTTTTGCTCTTTTAAAAGACACAACCACATACTCTGGTGTATCAGAAAGAAGGCTGTAATGCATCTGATATGTATAATATAGACTACTCACCGTTTTCTAATCATTTTTTTTTATAAAGCAATCGGAAGAGGATGTGAGTCAGTTTGATTCCAAGTTTACACGTCAGACACCTGTTGACAGCCCAGATGACTCGACTCTCAGTGAAAGTGCCAACCAGGTCTTTCTGGTAAGTGACAGATATAGGAAACTTAAATATGAGGATGGGCCCTTTTCAATAAAAAAATTCATTTTGCTTCTTTGCAGTTTCATGTGGATAACCTGAGATGCTAGTTTTTAGTTATCCTCTTAATTTAATAACTTACTGATGTTAGAAAATTGATTCTCATAATCCAACATTCTGTTTTAGCAATTATGGTAGGAACTTATGGTTGGTTTTCAGAGTGTCTGATTCTTTTTTTGGATAGGCCACTGACTTAAGATGATATTTGGCTCAGCAGATCAACTGAAAGCGACACAGCCATAGAAGTAGGAAAAGAGCTCATTGTAACTATTTTATTCCTGAAACAGACTTTTGGTATTCTTAACATAAGTCTAAAGGGGATTTTTAACCTGTTAATTGTGACTATTTGACATAAAAATATATAGGTTCATACATGATAGTTGATAGATTAATCTTCATTGATAAAGTATCTGTATTGATTTATACCTTGTCTCAGATAGAAAAGCAAAGCTTTTAGATTTTGATAAATAAAAATGATAATTTATATTTGATACCTATCATTGCATATTATTTTGCCTAAGTATCATATATGCTTATGTTTATTTTATTACTAAAGTGTAACATGAGCATCTACTTCTTTCTTTTATCATTATCTTTTGTCATTTGATTTTGGACCATTGTTAGAGGGAACGGAATATGGGAAAAACAATCATTTGGAAGTTGTTTTTTTCCGTTTGTTTCCAAGTTCACTGAATTTGTCACTATCCAGCTTTTTTTTTTTACTGCTCATGCTCACAGTATTAACACAAAGTAATGTACATTTTGGGGTGGAGGTTAAGTTCTAAAAGTAGCATAGAGTTAAAAAATAGTGTATGTTCAAAATTACTCTTTTTTGTTGTTGTTAATCTTCACTAGAGAATATTTTTTCCATTGATCATTTATTTATTTATTTTTAGAGAGGGTGAGAAACTGAGAGATAGAAACAGATGAGAGAGAAACATCATTGTTTGACTGCCTCCTGCACACTCCCTGGGTATGTGCCCTGACAGGGAATTGAACCATGACCTCTGGTTCCTATGCTCAACCTATACTGACCAGGCTAAAATAGCTCTCCTTAAAAAATTAATAAGAATAGTTACATTCACTTATCTAGAGATTGGAGTTGTAGCAACTTCAGTTCAATAAGTATTTAAGTTCCTGTCACAGAATTAAAGGAAATTCAAAGATGATCAAGGCACAGCCTAGTCCTCTTGGTAGTTACAGCTTTAGCTCACTAGAACATGTCAGGAAATGTCCTCTGAAGTCCATACGTGGTTATCAGAAAGTATGCTCTACAGAATTGCACCTCACACTTTAGGACCTCACCCAGACTTTATTAAATTTTTTTTATTTGTAACTCATAATGCTGATTCATAGTAACTGGAATAATAAATAGAAGGGGTCTGGTTGTTAGAGAGATGAATACTGACAGCAAGAGAAATGACAGTTGATAGCTTAATAGCAAGATCTAAGAAAGGCCGAAACCGGTTTGGCTCAGGGGATAGAGCGTCGGCCTGTGGCTGAGAGATCCCGCGTTCAATTCTGGTCAAGGGCATGTATATTGGTTGTGGGCACATCTCCAGTGGGGGGTATGCAAGAGGCAGCTAATCGATGTTTCTCTCTCATCGATGTTTCTGGCTTTCTATCCTCTCTTCCTCTCTGTAAAAACTCAATAAAATATATTTAAAAAAAAAAAAAAAAAGATCTAAGAAAGAACTAAAGCTAATAAAACTACATATTGCCAATTACAATTTAAAGTTTTCACAATGCTGACACTAATTCATCAAGAAACTAGCAAATCTATCTGACACTGGGGTAAAACCAGAAAAATCGCATGTGCTAAGTTAGATAATTCTATTTTTATTTTGGCCTAATAATGAGAAACTGTTTTTGGAGGATGATAATCTTAGGTGCTTATATGCTTGTGGCTAGAAACATTAGAATTTTCTTTGCATTTTTCTTAGTATTTACATTTTTTTTTAAAAAAAAACAAAACATATCTTATTGATTTTTTTACAGAGAGGAAGAGAGGGGGATATAGAGTTTGAAACATTGACCAGCTGCCTCCTGCACACCCCCTACTGGGGATGTGCACACAATGTACATGCCCTTGACCGGAATCAAACCTGGGACCTTTCAGTCCACAGGCTGACGCAGAATCCACTGAGCTAAACCGATTTTGGTGGTATTTACATCTTAACATGGAGCTTACATTTACCTGTTTTGTTCTACTCTTTTCAATAGAGTGAAATTTGTTTGCTGGCATATGGGGCTCAATAGGAATTCTTTCTTGAGGTCTATGCCTCAAATAGCTGGAACGAAGTTAACAGCTTCTTTAAATGGCTGAAATGAGATTGAAGTGATTGGAGAATATATAGATTAATGATTTTAGGGATGCATAATTGTTGTGTTGGTGTGTTAGAGACTGAACTATCACATTTTCTTGATGTGTATGACATGACCTTCTGTAGTCCACTACTACTATCTTTCAGGGTTTTACATATGTGGCTCCATCTGTACTTGAAAGTGTGAAAGAAAAGTTTTCCTTTGAACCAAAAATCCGATCACCGCGAAGATTTATTGGCAGCCCACGAACACCTGTCAGGTATTCAGACTTTGTTATTCCCTCCCTCCCTCCCTCCCTCCCTCCCTCCCTCCCTCCCTCCCTCCCTCCCTTCCTTCCTTCCTTCTTTTGTTTTCCTTTCCTTTTCTTTTTTTCTCTTTTTCTTTCTCTTTCTTTTTTTCTTTTCTTTCATTTTCCTTTTCTTCTTTCTTTCTTCTTCTTTCTCTCCTTCTTTTCTTTTCTTTCCTTTCCTTTCCTTTCCTTTTCTTTTCTTTTCTTTTCTTTTCTTTTCTTTTCTTTTCTTTTCTTTTCTTTTCTTTTCTTTTCTTTTCTTTCTTCCTCTTCTTTCTTACGTAGAAGAGCATTGCTTAACGAAATTTATACCAAGTTACATCAATGAAAGATCTAGCCTCATATTCTCTTTGATAGATATATGCACAGCATCTATCTGTACCTTCTCATATTGTAAGTGACTAGACTGTACTATCTCTGATCATAAGCTATATACCTTCCCTCCTAAAAGTAAGCAGCTGTCCTCTTTACCCATTCATTCAACATCTCTTGTGTGCCAGGAGTTCTGCTGCATGCTGGGGCACATGATTAACACAGGAATTATCCTTGATAAAGTTTATAGTTTAGTGAGAGGGAGTCACAGTAAGCAAAGAAGGAAATACAAGAAATACGTAATTTCGAGTAGTACCAAGTGCCATATGGGGGTGGGGGAAGAATCTGTGGTAGAGAGCAAAGAATAACAAGGGGGCATGAGTCATGGTGGTGAGAGAAAGGCCTCCCTGGTGAAGTAAGTCTGAGGATGAAGACAAAGTGCCAGCCATACAAAAATTAAAAGTACAGCGTGTAGCAGTAGAAGAACAGCTTGTGCAAAGCCTGAGGAGAGGCAAAAACATGGCCTTTTTTCGGAAATGAGTGGAGTGCAGTGTTCCTGAAATGTGGTGAGTGAGGGATAGAAATGGCAGAGTTCTAGAGAAGTATTTTATTTTAAATGCAATGGGAAGCTGTTTTAAGTGGGGAAGTAAAATGTGTTGTTTTGGAAAAACAAAAACACTAAGTATCATTGAGTGTTTTACTGGGACAATTATAAAGATGAAGAGACTAGTTGAGAAACTGGCCATTAGTCTAGGGGAGATAATTCAACTTTTGCCTTTGTGCTAATCCACACAAAAATAAAATTAAGTGAAAATAAATGTCTTATTACCCCACTCCCTTTAAATGCAAAGAAAGTTTTTTTGTTGTTGAGATCTGTAAGACAAATGAATGATAGCTCTTCCTTGTCTTAAAGCCCAGTCAAATTTTCTCCTGGGGATTTCTGGGGAAGAGGTGCTTCAGCCAGCACAGCAAATCCTCAGACGCCGGTGGAATACCCAATGGAAACAAGTGGAATAGAGCAGATGGATGTGACAGTGAGTGGGGAAGCTTCAGCCCCACTTCCAATACGGCAGCCGAACTCTGGGCCATACAAAAAACAAGCTTTTCCCATGATCTCCAAACGACCAGAGCACCTGCGTATGAATCTATGACAAAACAATGCTTTTAACGAATTTAAGGCAAAAAAAGGTGGGAAGATGATTTATGATTATCCTTCAGGGTGAAACAAGAAGACTGAAAATGACAGTCTTGAAGAGTCAATGTCGTTACATAGAACACTTTGGACAGAGGAAAAATAAACCTGGATTTTTAAAAATCAATCAATGGTGCAAAAAAAATAATTTAAGCAAAATAGTATTGCAGAACTCCGAAACACATCAATTAATTGATTCCTAGCAACATCTTCTCAACATTATCAAGGATTTTCATGTTGATGGCTCAAAACTGACAGTATTAAGGATAGGATGTTGCTTTTGAATCACTGTTGAGTTCTGATTTGTGTCAAGGAGGGTTATCTTTTCACTAGGCAAAGTACGAAATTGCCTGTCATACTTGCAACCAAGGACAAATTAGCATGCAAGCTTGGTCAAACTTTCCAGCAACATGGACTCAAAGACAAACTTATCAATTGATGTTTTACGTGCAAACAACCCGAATCTTTTTTTTATATAAATATATATTTTTCAAATAGACTTTTGATTCAGCTCATCATGGAAAACATCCCAAACTTCAAATCCGAAATTTTTGGTTGGTGTGAAGAAAGCTAGACAAGTTCTGTTTCTTCTCTTGGTGAAATAATAAAAATGCAAATGAATCATTGTTAACCACAGCTGTGGCTCGTTTGAGGGATTGGGGTGGACCTGAGGTTTATTTTCAGTAATCCAGCTGCAACACCCATCTGTAATACTAGAAAAAAAAAATTAATTCTATTGGCAGTACTGTTATGTGCTAAGCTTAACTGGAAGCCTTGGTACGGGCGTACGTTGTATGTCCTACATGTCATCCTTGTCCTGGGCCTGCGTTGCACTTGGAAGCATATTACCACCTGTTCTTATACCAGTGTTTGGTTCAAGACACCAAATGTTTCAGCCTATGGCTGAAGGAGGTCAGAAGAGAGTCAGGATAAAATGTGTACTGAGAGTGACAAAGTGAGGGAAGTGGGGAGATTCAGGGAAGAGGGTATTGCCATCGTCCACTCGCTGTCTAATCTCTTCACAGCAAATTGGTAAGGTTGTAAGTTTTACTTTTTACTGTTTTTGTTGTCTACCCTCCTTACATTTTTCCCCCTCAACCATTTTCAAAGGAAAAAGGTTATTTTCTCCTATACTGGGGCTACATTTTTTTTATTGTAAAAATATTTGATGGCCTTGTGATGAATGTCTTCCACGGTGAATAAGAAAACTTAGTGGCTTACTTTAGGAAATATGCTAACAAGACACTATGTTTTTGAAATTGAAACAAAATATACATAAGTGATCTACTGGTACAAAGAATGAAAATAAAGGTAACTTTACCCTTCTTAAATACTTCCTGCCTTAAAAAGAGCATTTCCATGACTTTAGCTGGTGAAAGGGTTTAATATCGCAGAGCTTTATAAAATTATATTTCAGTGCATACTGGTATTATAGATGATCATGCAGTTGCAGTTGAGTCTTATCACCCTTTTTTTGTCTTTTATAATGTCTTAGTCTGAGTGTGCAAATTCAATTTGTAATATTTTGCAACCCTATGATTCTTTTTTAAATAGATGCTGCTTGCTATGTTCTCCAAACCTTTTTGAGCCATAGGATCCAAGCCATAAAATTCTTTATGCATGTTGAGTTCAGTTAGAAAAGAGCAAAGCTTTGCTTATTTTAATGACAATTCAAGTCAAGTGAGATGAGATGATTTTGCTTAATGGCATTAAGCCAAAACAGACCCATGAAAAATGATTGGAAATATACTTTTTCAATTGTGGCAATAAATGAAAGAATTGATATAGTTCATCTTTGAATAGAAAGCTGTTTGTTTGTTTTTAAATCACTCCCTGTTATCCCCCCTTTCCCATTATTGCAGTAACCTACTGAGTACTTCATAACTGTAGCTAATGAATTAGAAGATGCAAATAATGATAAGGCAGAAATTGTATTTAAAGTGCAGAAATTCTCTGGCAGTTTATGACATCTGGAAAAACAGATCCCAAAAAGCTGTAGTGATATGTAGAGACTCTATTTCAGACAGTGTATGGCTTATAATACTTTGATATTTGTTTTCAAATATGTTTACTAACTGTAGTGTTGACTGCCTGACCAAATTCCAGGAAAATTTTTACACCAAAATACTCCTCCTCAGTCCTACTTGCTAGTAACATATGCACTGTGATAGGCTGGCTATAAACACTCCATAGTTAAAACCATTTTCATAATTAGTACTGCCAGCAATAGTGGCAACCTGCAACTTTTCTGCATAAAAAACATTAATTGCACATCTACCATCTATACAAATACAATTTTCCAAGTTAACATTTAGGGAAATTAATTTCCTATGCTGTGGCAGGTTTATTGAGAAATTGTTTCATTAAAAGGATATCTCTGCTAAGACTGTGAAAATATGTCAAGTGCCACATTAGTGTCACAGACGGAAAGCACACACCTATGCAATATTGGCTTACCCTATATTTATTTGTAAAAATCCAAGCATAGTTTAAAATATATGATGTCAATATTACTAGTCTTGAATTTTTAAGAGGGTTCTTTATGATTCTTCCAGGTAAGTGTATAAAAGAGATTAAGTGCTTTTTTTGTTTCATCACCTGATTATTTTCTTTAAAGTCAGCTATTACAGGATATTTTTTTAATTTTATATACACGCTGTTTTTTAATTCAAATATAGTCACTGAGAACTGAAGTTTACTAATTCTGATTTTATAAGGTTTGTAGCATTACAGAATAAACTGGGATTTATAAACCTGCTGTGATTAACAATGTAAAGTATTGATTATTGAACTTGAACCAGATTTTTTAGAAAATTACATTCTTTTCCCCTTTATGGTCTTAACTACTTTGAATCCTTCAAGAAGGATTTTTCCATGCTATTTTGTGTTTTTTTCTTTTTTTTTGAGATAAAAGATAATGAGGGTGGGGTGGGGGAATAATGCATGTATGATGCTCCATAAATTCAACATTCTTTAAGTAATAAATGATTATAAAGAAGATGCATCTTCAATAGTGTTAATATACTGAGCCTTGGATTTTTATATTTAATATAGGACCTAACTATTTTGGTAACTTAGTCATATGGTTCCTAGCTTACAAGGGCTTGATCTAAGATAATTCCCATGAAAAATGTTGAATTTATGAAAAATGGATTTCGAGACTTTGAAAATGGTTCATTTCTCAAGTAACATCAGTGTCCAAACATTTACCTTTTTTCATAGGCGTAGACACTAGGCAGGCTGGAAAAACCAATCATAAAAGTATTTGTCACACCGTGTCTTGTAGTCTGTTGCTGATTAATATAAAACTTTTATTGTGTGATTCTTAATTTACCACTAGCACAAGTATTATCTCAGTGGATTATCTGAAGTAATAGCTGAAAGATGGGTTCATCTGTGTTTGCTCTTTAAACTATTTTTTTTCCAAGTTGGCTTTGCATCTATCAGAGTAAATAAATTCTTCAGCTGCCTTATTAGGAGTGCTATGAGGGTAACACCTTTTCTGCTTTTCATCTTGTATTTAGTTTACTGTATTAAGTATTTGATTTCAGAATGAATGAATGTAAATAGAAATTAAATGCAAATTTGAATCAACAGAATATAGAAGTGATTTTTTTTTTATTATCCTAAGATAGGAAGAAATAACTATCAGGCGCACAGATGGTTTCAATAATTTTTTTCATTAACATGCCAGATATGTCCCGGTTATTATATTTAATAAATTACAGTTGACCCTTGAACAATATGGGTTTGAACTGCACGTGTCCACTTATATGCAGAATTTTTTTCAATAAATACATTTGGTCCTCTGTATCCATGATGTGAAGGGTCAGCTGTAGAGTCAGAAGTTGTATGTGGATTTTGACTGGAAGGATTGTTGGTGCCCCCAATCTTTATATTGTTCAAGGATAACTCTTACACTACATATGTTAGGAATGACAGTTAAAAAACTTTCTGCTGAGAAGTTGAAGCTATTTAAATACATAACAAATTTTAGTACTAGTGTTTCACAGATGTGTAACTAATATGTTTTTCCAAGTTGAAATGGTTGCTTATTTCTTAAAAAGTTCATGTGAAGGTAGGTAAAAGCTACTTTTACATAAAAACATTAGGAAGACTTTATGCTAATAGTCAGCAGTTAGTTCAGCTACACTTGTCAACTACATTTGATTATTTGATGCATCTATACAAGATAATCTATTTTTAACTGCTGTAATATATCTAGTATACATGGATAGTTTTGTATGTCACTTTTTTATAATTTTTTTATTTCAGAGGAAGAGAAAGAGAGAAACATCAGTGATGAGAATTATTGATCGGCTGCCTCCTGCACTCCCCACACTGGGAACTGAGCCACAACCCGGGCCTGTGCCCTTGACTGGAATTGAACCTAGGACTTTTTAGTCCGCAGGCTGATGCACCATTCACTGAGCAAACCAGCTAGAGCTAAATCACTTTTTATTTATGAGGCAATTCTATCACACTTGCCAAGATGATTTCTTTATAGAAGTTCTCAAACTGACATGACTCTAATAAAACATAAGTAGTGACTCTTTTTAAAAATGTTTTTATTGATATCATAGAGAGGAAGAGAGACAGAGAGAAACATAAATGGGAGAGAATCATTGATTGGCTGACTCCTTCACATCCCCTACTGGGGATCGAGACTGAAACCGGATTGGGAATTAAACAGTGACCTCCTGATTTAAGGTTGACACTCACCACTAAGCCACGCTGCTAGGCTGTAGTGACTCTTAGTGCTAATGAAACAATTTTTCGGAAGGGGTGATCTGAATTCACAAAATGCATGGTTTTTTTAAATCTCTATTCCTCTGTTTTTGAGGTGAGGGAATAGAAGTAAAGAAATGTTTCCAGTTCATCAGTATTGTTAATGGATGTGATAGGTCTCCTATGACATTTTCCCCCTTTTAAATTCAGATGTGAAATGCTTTCTTGTTAAAAAAAAAAAAAAAAAAGCCCCACTGTCTACTGGGGACCTCCTTTGTAATTAAATCATATTAAAAAACAAAGTTATCCATATAGCCATAGGGTAAATAGGTAAGGTAATAGGGTTGAAGTAACTCATGTAGCAAGATATACTCTTCTTGTGTTTTTAATAAGAAGTCAGCTTTTCTGTTTTCACACTCAAATTCTAATTCCAAACTGCCTTTCTCACACATCCCTTGCTGTATACCTAAATAATAGCTTCACCACAAATTCAGTAAACTTGTTTCAATATTTGCAGTGTTCTCAAAGGGAATAATAGTTAAATATATAATCACTGAATGAATATAAATAGGTATACTTATAACATGGCAATATCTACCTGAGGTAAAAAGTTACAGGCTTTCTGAAATTTTTTTTTTTTTTTTTTTTTTGCAAATTAGGGTAGTCATACAGGCATAAAAGTGACTTAACCTATCCTTGTTAATCTCTGTGTTGGTTTACTCTTAACACTGCAAATTTGTTTTCTACCTCTACCTCCTAATTCTCTCTCTTCCTTGTGTTCATACTGATGAATGGTAGTAGAGAAAATGGACAGAGGCCTTGTACTCTAATTTAGATATAACTACCACTTCAGACTTCTGGTATTAGAACTTGGTTCCCTCTGAGAGGTTTTAAGGGAGATGGTGCCCCATTTCTTTTTCCACCATACTACACAAACATTTAAGAGGCAAACAAACCACACAATCCAAAGCATCTGGTTGCCTCTGAATGCAGGCTTTAATCTTCTAACTGATGGTGATTCAAGCATCAGATTCCAAAAACACTTCTGGAGAAAACTAAGGGGAACTGTTTTCTAAGATTTGAGTTGGTCTTGTATGTTACACTATTCAAGTCATCAGTGAAGCCAGCTACTTGCAGCTATGTAAATTATTTTAATAGGTACTTCAAGGTAGTCCATGGCACTATACAAAAAGCAAGATCACAAACATTAAAACCGATGGCAGGATTGTATGTATAAGGTCAACAAACAATACATTTAAATCATGTATTCTCATTGATTGCTAATCGTACTATAGAGAATACAACAATATTAAAATATATCATCCTCAGTAAATCTTCACTTACAAAATCTGTTACAGGTAAAATATAGCATTTAGAATGTTCATTTAAAAATACAACTTTTATGAAAATTTTAAGAATTTTTATAATTGGAAATATAGAAGTCAATACAAAAGAAAATTCTACTTTCAGATAAAGTGTATCTTAAAATATTAAAAATATTATTTATTTGAAAACAATGTCAGGAAAGAATACCTGAGTTTCTCTAAGAACTAGTTCTAGTTATCCAATTGCTTTTTTGGTAACATTAACAAGAAAACATAATTTAACACTGCAATCATCTGTCAAATGATTAGGATAGAATAAATGTCCCATATGCATTAGGTTGAACAATCTTGATAAACTGGACTATAACAATTAAGTGTTTTTGTGGCTTTAACAGTTTATACAACTTAATATATTTGGAAGTCTGATGAAGTGGCTCCATCTTTCCATCTGTTTATATGGTCTAAAATCACAGTTCTGCACAGCGGACATGTTTTCTCTCTGTTAAACCATAAGGTAATGCACTCTTCACAAAATATATGCTGTAAGGAAATTAAAAACTATTTTAAATTTGATAACATTTTTATTTTAAATTCATTTCATTATAGACAATCATTAGAGCTGAAAGGGATTTTGGAGAGCACTAATCCCTTTACTTTACAAATGAGAAAGTATGACATTCAAGAATAAAAGAATGGTGTTACTGGTAAGAGCTACTATTCCCTTCTTTTGACTATACTAACCTTTAATCACTTTTAATTAAATACCAGCTATCTCTAGGTGATAACTTTAAGATCAAGTATAATGGCTTAATAAGTCTTTGAGAGTAACTGCCATAAAGTATAGGAAAGGGCCTTCTTCCACAATCCAATAAATGCTGGCTTTATTCTAAAAGACTAAAATCCATTATAAATAGCCTTTTTTTTTTTTAAAAAAGTCACATTGATAGACAATTTGCCATTTGAATTCTTTTTCTCCTTCAGACATTCCTCTGCATAAAAATCATTAGAACATAGATAAGATTTAGCTAATCTACCAAATCCGTAATCATAAGTAAGAAATTACCAATTTCTTGAATTGCTACTTTCTGCTAAACGTTGTAGTTTCTTTGCCTTGAATGCTACTTTATGCTAAACGTTGTAGTTTCTTTTTCCTTATAACTAACATAAATATGCCTTACAAGTCATAGTGAAGTGTTGTATTTAGGTTGCTTAAAAATATAATTACCTGACAGATGAGAAGAATTGGCTTTTGAAATTCAGCTTGACATATTGAACAAATATCATCCACATCTGAACACTGTCTCTTGCTGGCAGCCACTCCATAAGTCTATAAAGATAAGTTATTTTCATTTACCAGTTTCTTTCCTGTACTTCCAATATACAGATAGTGCTTTACTTCTCAAATATCCCTGGAACTAGGTACTTGAAAACTCTCCCAAAGGATACAAACATTTCAAAGCTGAACTACATATGCAGAACCACATCTTGATGGATTCATCAGGGTGAACTCATTAAATACATAATAGGAACTTGAAAAATTTAGAATCATTTTTCATTATAGGCTTCAAAATCAACACAATTCAACTGGTGTTAGAAACTAAGCAGTCTGAAATAGAGCTATTATAAAACCTATATGTTAATGTATTAGGTGACCGCATATTGCCAAATTGGACCCATTTATTATCTGGCAGTGGTTCTAAAAAAATCAATCCAGAGCTTGGCTGACTGAATGCAACTCATGTGGAAAGACTGCTTTAAAAAACAGATTTCTGTGCTCCAGACTGGAGACTGTCTCAGTAGTTCCAGACATACTGGGATGTGACAAGAGGACTCTGAAATTTTTGTAAGTTCTCCAGGTGAGTTCAATGTGAAGAAGGTTGGAGAACGACTGAAAAGTGTGTTGCCACTAAATCTAAAAATAATTTTAATTATTATCCTTAATTATCACATAAGTCAGAGCACTTAGTACTAGGAAAAAAGTAACATTTTATAAAAGAACTGTAATTGCAAAATATCACTTGGATAGAGTTAAATGTCCAAAATTAACTGTCTGAATAAAAGTGCAATTCTTTGAATTTCCTTTTCTTCTAATGAACTAAACATCTTTCTGATCTAAGTTCTTTTTTTTTCTTTTCTTTTTTTTTTTTAAAAACACATTTTATTGTTTTTTTTTACAGAGAGGAAAGGAGAGAGATAGTTAGAAACATTGATGAGTCATCTTGCTTGCCCCCAACTGGGGATGTGCCCGCAACCAAGGTACATGCCCTTGACCGGAATCAAACCCAGGACCCTTCAGTCCGCAGGCTGATGCTCTATCCATTGAGCCAAACCGGTTTTGGCTGATCTAAGTTCTTAATTCCTCACCAAATCCAGGAGAATTTAGTTATTAACTAGATGTGACTGAATGTTACAAAAAACATCAGCTTTCTGTAGAAATGATGGGGAAAAGGTGACTAAGGGGAAGTAAGAACACCTAATCATGATAGAGCAAAGCATGGTCTGAAGTTACGAACTAAACTTGTACTCAACATTGAGGGTTAACAAAATCAAGACAGCCGAAACCGGTTTGGCTCAATGGATAGAGCGTCGGTCTGTGGACTGAAAAGTCCCGGGTTCAATTCCGGTCAAGGGCATGTACCTGGATTGCAGACACATCCCCAGTAGGGGGCATGCAAGAGGCAGCTGATCTACGGTTCTCTCTCATCGATATTTCTAACTATCCCTCTCTCTTCCTCTCTGTAAAATATCAATAAAAAATATATTTAAAAAAACAAAAAAATCAAGACAAAATATAAAATATTAAAAATTAAGATTTTGCCAGCACCGGTTTGGCTCAGTGGATAGAGTGGTCAGCTTGCGGACTGAAAGGTCCCAGGTTCGATTCCGGTCAAGGGCATGGATTGCGGACACATCCCCAGTAGGGGGTGTGCAAGAGACAGCTGGTCGATGACTCTCTCTCATCAATGTTTCTAACTATCCCTCTCTCTTCCTCTCTGTGAAAAATCAATAAAATATATTTAAAAAAAATAAAAATAAAAATTAAGATTTTTTTCAGGTTACTGATAGATGACCTTGGTACCAATTTCCCTTCAGTGTCATTTAGCAGAGTACACTACAGAAAACAGGCTGACAAGTTTTTAAATTAGCATTTTTGTCTGGCATATTGCAGACTCCTTTAAAAAAAAAAAAAGATATATTTTATTGATTTTTTACAGAGAGGAAGAGAGAGGGACAGAGTTAGAAACATTATATTGTATCTTTTTTAAAGAATGAAGTTTGAGCCGAAACTGGTGTGGCTCAGTGGATAGAGCATTGGCCTGTGAACTGAAAGATCCCAGATTCGATTCCGGTCAAGGGCATGGCCGGGACCGGTTTGGCTGAATGGATAGAGCATCGGCTTGGGGACTGAAGGGCCCCGGGTTCGATTTCTGTCAAGGGCATGTACCTTGGTTGCAGGCACATTCCCGGTGGGGGGGTGTGCAAGAGGCAGCTGATCGGTGATTCTCTCTCATCGATGTTTCTAACTCTCTATCCCTCTCTCTTCCTCTCTGCAAAAAATCAATAAAATATATTAAAAAACAATAATAAAATGAAGTTTGAATAGTATGCAGAAAAACTTATTACTATATTACTATGTTGGTGTAGCCCACTTTGGAAATAACGTCCTCTTTCTTGTATTTAGCATTTATCATTATGTTGGCATTCTTTTAGTAAGGTCCCCCGAGTCCTGACAAAGTAAATACTTAATGCACTGCAAAATTGAGGATTAAACTGAAACCTGTTGACCACAAAGGCTACTAAGTAGAAAATGAGCCTATGACAATCTTTGTCTGAAATATGTAACATCAGTAGAATCATATAATCAAGTTTATAATTGACAATGGAGTGTCAATTTGTTTTTACATTTTTGACGGGCTATCTTCTGAATACCTCTGTAACCCAGATATGTGCACTTCTGGGAATGGAACCATGACCTGGTTCATATGTTGATGCTGAACCACTGAGCCACACTGGTCAGGCTGGAGTGTCAACTTATTGTTAAATTCTATGCCTTGAATTTACCCTATATAAAAAAAGTTTAATATGCAAATCGACCAAACAGTGGGACGACCGGTTGCCGTGTTGTGTGCTGACCACCGGGGGCAGACACTCAATGCAGGAGCTGCCCCCTGGTGGTTAGTATGCTCCCACAGGGGGAACACTACTTGGCCAGAAGCTGCAATGAGTGCTAAGGAGCAAGGGGTCCTGGGCTACAAGAGGGATGTGGACATCCCCCAAGGGATCCCGAACTGGGTGGGGTGGAGGCCAGGCTGAGACACCTCTCCCTCCACTCCCCACTGCACAAATGTCATGCACCGAGCCTCTAGTTTGTGCATATAGAGTTGAGTTTTGATGGGGAAATTTTTCCAGTAAGAAAATTTTGTTAATGTGCTTTTTCATATACACAGTAAATTACAGTGCCTTCACAGAAATTGAATAAAGAGTTAATGGAAATACACAAAGCCATCATTTATAGATTTAAAACAGGAAAAGGAATAAAAGTTCGTGACAAGATTTTTAAAGGAATGTTTATAAACCCTTAAGAATGTCAAATGAGTAGAAAGGGCAAGCACATTCAAATATATAAGCACTTGGTAACGTTAATATGAAAGTCAAGAAACTGATCATAGATAAAACTCCTAAATCATTCTCATAACCCTATGTGCTAAAGTACTAAAGTTTTTAAAAGTTAATGAAACCCATATTTGTAAAATAGCTGAATTAACTTTTTTTTTTTTTTTTTTTTGTAATGAAAGGTTAAAAGTGTTTTTTCTTTAACAAGTAAAATGTACTTACTGGTCGTGTAAAAAATTTTCTCAAAACCTGTCTGAAATTTCTTAGATGGTCAAAAAATTCCAAAAGCTGAAAAAGGAAATGAAGAGATTATTCACTAATTCCAAGAAATTAAGAGATTATTCACTAATATCTGCTAAACCCAGAGATCAAAGCTAAAGTGCCACAATATCAAATATTGCATATCACAAGTAATCATTTCAATCTAAATATATTTAAAGTCCAATTATAAAATATTTTACTCAATTTATAGATTTCAACCAACTCTTAACAAAAAAAAAGAAAGGAAATATGAATACCTAGAGGTACAATTTAGTCAAGACAAATATAAAGTTAGCCCTGGCTGGTTTAGCTCAGTGGATAGATTGTCGGCCTGCAGACTGAAGGGTCCCAGGTTCAATTCCAGTCAAGGGCATATGCCGGTTTGTGGGCTCAATCCCAGTTGAGGACTTGCAGGAAACAGTCAATCAATGATTCTCTCTCATCACTGATGTTTCTACCTCTCCCTCTCTAAAATTAATAAAAGTATATTTTTAAAAATATATATATACCCCATTTCCCCAAAGACAAGACAGTGTCTTATATTAATTTTTTCTCCCAAAGTTGCGCTAGGTCTTATTTTAGGGGATGTCTTATCTTTCCATGCACTAGGTCTTATTTTCGGAGGATGTTTTATTTTTGGGGAAACATGGTACTAGTGGCCCAGTACACCGATTTGTGCACATTGAAAAGAAATCTGAAGCCCACTCCCAAGTGCCTGGGGAATTCTCATATCCCCTTGAGCCACTGGAAAGTCATGTGGGGAGTCTGTTCCCCTCCCTGCACTTCCTGAAAAATATTTGCAAGTGTCCCTTCTTCAACCAGGGTCATTCCTTGCTGGCCAGGAGGTCCCCAGTGGATGCCTTGGGCCCTGCTGGAGGCTTTCCACTACTCAGAGCCAGATAAGAGACACTCCGAGGTGAACAATATAAAGTTAAGGATCTTCGGGACTTGTGCTCTGTTGCCCACACCCCTTCCTTCAGAGCCATCTCTCTGACTTTTACCCTGATTGTCACTGGCCGCTTGTGGCCACTGTTATATTGCTGCCTTCCTCTGAAGCTCCAAGGCAATTGATTTCAATGCCCGAGGCAGAGTTCCGGGAGCCCAGTGGAAATATCAGGCTTGTCCTGGTTACTCTGAGTGTTTGCACTTCAACTGTTCTCTGGAGACTATAACTGCAGACTTTTGGTGTGCCAGGGAGTAGCAGTGCACTAAGCAGCAGGTGGTTGGGGAGGACCCTGAGCCGTGCTTCACTGCGCCTGCTGCTGCCACCGCAGCCACTCAATAGCTCTGCTGTGGAGATGGGAGAGGCTCCGTGAGCCTGGCTTCTGGCTAAGCAGCACTCCCACTGTGGGCGCACAATGACCACTGGGCCAGCTCTTGCGTTGAGCGTAAGCCCTTTGGTGGTCAGTGTGCATCATAGTGACTGGTGGACCGGGTCGACCCAGTCAATCAGTCATAAAGGTTGCTTAGGCATTTATATATATAAAGTAAACTATGTCAAAGACAAGGCAATTTTACCTCACATGTTTTTAACATATTTAGATATTAAAGTTTCATAAAGTGATTTAAGCTGAGGGGAACAGACATAGAAGAAACGGTCATTAAACAAAATGTACTAGATTCTCTAATTTCAGAATTATGTGTAGGATAGATGCTGCTGTTGGAGATGGGTATGTTCTAGTCTACTTTCTCTTTCCCATGTCTATAATCCATGCTATCTGGAAATCTATTCCCCCAATAAAATCTGTACCACTGGATTAATATAAAGACTGTATTTCCATTATTCCATTTCTAACTAGATACAGAATCTATTATGTAAACTAAAAGATAAACTATAAAATAATTCATTAGCAATGGAAAATTAATCTGTAATCATTATATGAATCGTATGACAATATTAAGAATGTTACCTACTTTTAGTATGAGGTAGAGTAAAGCCAGCAATATTCCAAGAATCCTTCTAGTTATATTACCAAACTCCCCATAGCTTATAAGGTAACGAAACCAAACTGGTAAGGGAACAAATGTTCGGTAATACTGACAGAATTCTTCTAAAAGCATGTACCAGTAACCCTAAAAAGGAAGGAGAACAAATAGTTATCTAAATAATATTTTTTCCACATATGATATTGGAAGTAATTTTTAGATGATGCTGAAGCAAATTCTGGTTTTTTTTTTCTAGATCAATATTTGGTTTAAGTCTTTGAGCAAATGATGGCCAGTCTGAGATAATATAATTAAAATTAGGTTTAGACTAAATAGCATTAGAGTGGTTTATTAACATTGTATCAACAAAACATGTTAGTTTCTTACCTTGGATTTAAAAGGTATGATGAAAGAAGGCACCAATAAAACAAGGCATTTTAAGCTCATGCAGAGGAATTTCAGGATGAAGTCTGTAATTCCAACAATCCAGAGTACTTCCCAGAAGCTCGAATAGTCCAAAGTAGGATTCAAAAAAATTAAGCTACCAAGAGAAAAACATCAAAACTTACCAGAGCAACACACAAAGGTAAAGTATTCATGATTTTTTAAAAATTTACTACTGAATATCTATTTTGATGTGTGAAAAATACAAAATTGGCAAGAGTTCACGTAAACAGAGTAACATTTTGCTTATTATAGACTTTTAAAATGTATTAATTTTGCATCTTTCTTCGATAGTATAAAAGAATGGTCTTCCTAACTTGTCATGGTTGATACTTTCTAGCCTATAATCTAAAAAAATTCACTAATATTAAATATCTGTCCTTTTCTCAAACAGCTCCAATCTGCATTCTATTCCCTCCTTTCCACTTAATTGCTTTTGTACAGATCGACTACCTCCACCTTCTCACATTCAAAGGTCCTGTCCCTTTTTCCATTTACCCCCTGAATTATTTTCTTCCTGGACTTCTAACACTACACTCCCTAGTTCTCATTTGTAACTGATGATTGGCTCCTTCCTGGTTTTCTTTGCTTCTCCTCCTCTTATTGTGGGCATGTCCAGTCCTGAGCTCTCTTCTCTGACTATATTTTTCCTGGTTAGTTTTGGTTTTTAAATATCAATCATATGCTGGTAACACCAAAATATATAGCCCTAACCTCTACTCTGAGCTCCTGATTTATATATTTGAAATCATTTAATAGTTCCATGTGACCTCTCAATATATTCAAAACAAATGATTGATTTTTCCCTCAAAACCAGTTACTTGCCCTGTCTTCCCAAGCCCACAAAAGCTACTATCATCCAGCCAGTTGCTTCGACAAAAATCCTAGGTGTCATCCTTGATTTCTCCCCTCTATCTACCCCCCAGGCCAATCAGTAATATTGGGTCCACTGACAAACTATATCTGAAATTTCCCACACCTCTCTAACAGGACTGAAAACCAGGACTTTTAATTATCTGATTAGAGCCAAAACTTTAGAACACTTCCATCTAACATGGAAACTTAACAACTGCTGTCCTTTAGCACGTCTTCTCTTTACTTCTACAAAGATCATGTTCTTATTACACAATGTACACATAAATCAAAACATCACGTACATCTTAAATGTATACGTTTTTATTTGTAAGAAATATATTAAAAAAAACAAAAACCAAAAACAGACCACAAACAATATTGACTAAATGGTACTAATAACTATTGATGATATAAGTAAAAACTTAAGTATTAAAAATTAAATATTTATCAAATGCCTGCTAGGAATCAAGACACTGAGTACACAAATCTGAAAAAGTCACTTGAAGCTTTCAATCTTTGAAGGAGAAGGGTAAAAATTGAACTATAACAGTAAGTATATGCAAGTAAAATATATGCAGAGTGCTAAGGAATATGTTACATAAAAATATGATTGTATATTTGGATCTCTAATTACCTGAGATAAAGTGACTGAGAATGAAAGGTATAATATAAAAGAGCAGAAGATCCTGCTAAGAATACCAGTAACCAAGCACACTGAATCTTTGAGCACCTTTCCTGAAAAATAAACAATTTTAGGATTTATTACTTTGGATTATGCCAAAGATTTAAATATTATTAACTATTTTATTTTAATGACTAACTTATTAACTTAGAATGTTTTAAAAGATTAAACTTATTAAAAATATAGAATATTTGTTAAACTGTACATCATCACACTATATATCTTTAGTGAACAAAACAGAACTCAGTGAAATACATTTTTAAAATAACAAGTTTCTTCACTTGTATAAAAACATTACCTATGTTTGAAAGAAGCCAAATCTACAAGCAACATAAAGGTCCCAGCAAAATATAAACTTTACCTCTGCAGCTCCCTACTTTTGCCTCCCAGACAAAACAAAATGTTAACAAGTATATTTAAGTAACCAGGTCTTATAAATATATTTTTTAAATTCTGAGAAATTCAATAAGAATTTAATAAGATAATTTATTTTTATTTATTTAAAAAAATATTGATATTTTTTAGAGAGGAAGGGAGAGGGACTGAAAGTTAGAAACATTGATGAGAGAGAATCATAGATCAGCTGCCTCTTGCACACCCCCCACCAGGGATGTGCCTGTAACCAAGATGCATGCCCTTGACCAGAATCAAACCTGGGACCCTTTGGTCCACAGGCCAATGCTCTATCCACTGGGCCAAACTGGCTTCGGCAAAATAATTTTTATGGTTTGATAGGTTCTAACTACAAATTTCCAGGTCAGAATGCATGATCCTTACAAATATATTGCCCTTTAAAATTACTTAAAGGTGAGATTTTATAAACTGGTCCTAGTTTTCCCAATAGTTTATATGAATAGAACTCTTTTATAATTTACTAGAGGCCCAGTGCACAAATCTGTGCACTGGTGGGGTCCCTCAGCCTGGCCTGCACCATCTCATAATCTGGGACCCTCTAGTGCACAATCAGGGCTGGGGAAGGACCATGGGAGGGCTCCAGGATGTGTCCGGCCCCTCTTGCCCAGTCCTGATTGGCTGGACCCCAGCAGCAAGCTAACCTACTAGTCAGTGTCTACCCCCTGGTGGTCAGTGCACATCATAGTGACTGGTTGAACAGTCTAATGAACAGTGATACACTTAGCATATTAAGAGGCTTTTATTATATAGGATGTTATGTAAAAACTACTTGGGTTTAATTTTCTTTAAATAAGAGAGACCTAAAGTGTTCAATTCCCTTTTATTCAATGTACATTTTCTTTACTTTAAATTTGACAGTGCGACAGCAAAAGTTTTTAATGATGATTATATTATGTATTGTGGTTAAACTCATAAAACATGAAGGCAATTGACAAATCAAATCAAATAATTCATTCTAAAATTCAGTTTTTCTTTATCAGGTACCCAACTTACAAAGAAAATAAGGTGAACTAATTCAGCTGTAGGACAGATCACGTATGCTAGATCATCTATCGATATGTATATAAAAGCCTAAGCAACTGTTAAGACTGGTAGCTATAATGCACACTGACCACCAGGGGGCAGACGCTCAACGCAGGAGCTGCTCCCTGGTGATCAGTGCACTCCCAGAGCCAACCTCCTGTGGCCAACCAACCTCCCATGACCGTACCCCGGGACTGGGCGAGATGGCCCCCAATTGGACCAATTGCTGGGGAGGCTGAGGGACCCTACCTGTGCATGAATTCATGCACCAGGCCTCTAGTTTAGATTAAAAAAAACTTAGTATATTATAGATGTCATAATAGATGTATCTAAATTTAGTAAAAAAAACTATCTTAATTCTTATTTCTCTAAAAAATGAGTACATGATCTACAGAGAGATTTTTTTTTTAGTTTATTATACTTACTCTTAGAAAAACCTGATTTACAATACTGTTGTCTGCATATATAAAAGTTGTAAGCAGTCCAATTCCAAGAGAAATTCCTGTTAGATAATAAGTTCCAGTTAATTGCAAGAAAAATCAAAGAGCTAACACAATGACGTGAACTTAAAGGAAACGTTTTCAATTTTAAAAGCTAGCAGAAAATCGGTTAACAAAATTACATAGGTTAAAGTAGATTACTAATAAAAATAAATTTACTGAATTTAGCATGAAACAATTCAATATTTTATTACACCCTACCTGTTATATGCTGCACAACAAGTTTGACACCCAGAATCAAAATAAATGGAAGACTCTGTTGCAGCCACTTGAAGAGATATCGGAATTCGGAGTAGGAGCTACTGCCATGATCTCCAGACTCCATAGAAGTATCACCAGGCTGCCTTGCTTGGTTACGGAACTGATTCCGTGCATGACTCTGTACACATCCCTGGGTACAGCTATGGCCACCTGACCTTGTACTTCTGGAGCTTAGATTTTCAGCACCTTCTTTAGGTGTGGAGTCAACCTGGATATGCACATCTCCAGAATGAAGACCAGGACCTTCTGTCAATCTTGTGTGGACACTCTGGGAGGCTGAGGCAGCCTCACTGCCTGCAGCTCTTTGCAATTGGCTACAATCGGCTTGCATGACCCTTGAATACGTTTTTCTTTGCTTCAGGTCTCCGTCTTCTAAAAATAAAAAAGCAGAAAATATTCTAAGTGAACAGTTAGAGGCTGATAATCACAGATGAATTATTCTCAGATTATTACTTGTTTTGAAAATTTTTAATTTTTATTTATTGATTTCAGAGAGGAAGGGAGAGGGAGAAACAATGATGAGAGAATCATGGATTGGCTTTCTCCTGCATATTCCACGCTGGGAATCAAGCCTGTGCCCAGACCTGGAATCCAACCTTGACCTCCTAGTTCATAGGTTGGCACTCAAGGACTGAGCCGGGCAGGTTGGGTTATTAACTTGTTACTAGACTCCTCCGTTAATAACAAGGCTCTGCTGCTTTACACAAACTACCTTTTAGGGAACATCTGCTACCAAAGAAGTCGAGCTTCAGATGCCTCCAGTTCTCTAATAAAGAGCCAGCAACATAAAGTACCGGTGCCCAGTCGATGTGACTGATGTGAACACTAGTATTCATATTTTAATACTTCAGTGCATTTACTCTGCTCACCTGGAGCATTTTCATCTCCAAAGTAGACACTACATTTCATAAGAATCGTGTTTGCTAAGGCTTGGAAAGGCTAGGAAGAAAAAAAATTAAATCTTAATGCCTCATTAAACACCATGGAGAACTAATAAACATTTCACTCTGGTGACCTATAAGTTTGTCTTATGTCGAAACAGCTTTGCCAAAGCTAATAAAAAAGCTTCCAATAAATACCCAAATATTGCCCAAATACCTTTAAAATAGGAAGACGTGGGGAGTCGCCATGTAACTTACCAGACAACTCTAGCCTGAATAAGGATAGTTACACAGCCTGCCCCTTAAAAATGCCACCATGAGGGGAGGGTGCGTGTGTGTTGGGGGAGGGCGGCGGCTCACGCAAGAGGATAGTCAGGAAAAGACCCTGAGTGGCCAGCGAGGGAATCCCAACCTGCCTTGTCTGTAGAAGCAGTTAGGGAACGGCAGGTCACTCTATTTCATTAGTAGGTTCGAATATACTTATATATTTTCCAGTTACTGTACGGAGTTTGGGCTTTTTAGTTCCTTTCGCTCAAAGCTTCCACCGATGTTCCGACGCCACGCGTGCTATTTATTTCCTCAAACCTCTGAAGCCCAACACCAGGCGCGACAATGTTAGCGCCTTTTTCATAAAGAGAAACACAGAACCCTCCCAACTTCCCTCGATGCAAGAGCAAGAAAGGGAAGGAAAAAGCAAAGTCAGCGCAAAACAACTTTCGGAATCCTCAGGACAGAACCTTCCACCCACGTTCGAGCTTCGAGCGTCTCAGTTACTCTCCCCAGAGCCCACCCGCCGCCGCCACCCGCTTCCCCGAGGCCTGACCTCATGACGATGAGCAGAGAGAGGCGCCGGCGGCGATGGCAGGAAGAGCGGGAGAAGCGGCCTCACGGCCCTCCGTCCGGGCCATCACCTTCCAGCCCCGCGACCCGCGACTCCGGCCCAGCTCGGCGGCGGCGGCGGCGGCGGCGCGCGCGTCCCCGGACGTCCGCACGCGCACGCGCCGGCCGCTGCGCGCACGCGCCGGGGGCGGGGCGGGAAGGGCTGCGCCGGGCGTGCCCGGGGGGCGTGGGGCCGCCGGGGCGCCGGCTGTGGAGAGGCGGGGGCTGCGCCTCAGAAGACGCCCAGGCATGTGCGTTAGACACAACCGGCGACACGTATGTGCATGTGTTCTATATGTGTGTGTGACCCGCCACGCGCCTCTGAGATGTGGGCGTTTTTAAGAGTCAAAAGTGTTTTGGCTTCGAGAACTGGCCCTCGGAGGCGGGGCCTGTCTGAAGCCGGGGACCGTCCCGCCCCAGGCGCCTCCCCTCCGGAGGCCGCCCGCCGCCTGACGAGCCCGCCACGCGCGCGCCCCGGGAGCCGGAGGAGCCACGTCGGCGGGGAATGTGCGCTGCTCGGGGCGGGGCGGGGCGAGCGCGGCCGGGGGTTTCGGTCGCGTCACTCCTGACCTAGTTGTGGCGGGCGGGGGCGAAGCCTCCCCGGAGCCGGGCTTTGTTACCGGCCCCACGGCGCCCTGTGGGAGCTCCGCCCCGCCAAACCCCGAGGCGGCGCGGAAGCAAGGGAAGTGCGGGGGAGAGTGCAAATAAAAGATTTTGAAAGTTTGTGCGGGGGTAGAGGGAACTCCAATCTTCACTATAATTCTGTTACCGTAAATCTGTTCTAAAACAAAAAGATTATTCGGGGGGTGCGGGGGAAGTAAGCAAAAGAAACGAAAAAACCCTGCCTCTTGTCCCCCGGCCAGAATATATCTTAAAAGATAATTCTATGCCATGCATTTCCTCCACCCTCCACAACCACCAATAGCCTTTTTCCATTCTCAAACCCCGAAATTTTTATACCTTTAGTTTATAGAGATTCACGTCAAGTAAATAACTCTGGAATGTCTTCCCAGGGTTCTTGAAATTCAATATTCTATGCCATGTGGGCTAAGTTAACTTGGGCAAGGGGTTTAGTCTTTCCTCGCCGGAAAGGATAAATTTACATTCCTATACACACTTTGTGAATTGAGTAGCGAGTGGAACTAGTGTTACTTGGTCTTTGTATTGGTCACTACCCGATTTAGAACCATTTACAACAATTTTGCCCACGTTAGTTTGCTGGTGTGTGATTTTTGAGGCTCCCTGAACCGTGAAATTGTTTGCGCCTTATTTTCTCCTGTGTCAATCAGAGTAAAACTGAATCCGCTGTTTAACCTCAGTTATTCACTTTGAGACTGTATTTAAATCATAGCGAGGCAGAGGGAAGAGTCAAGGAAGGAACTTATCTCAGCAGAGTTGAAGTCTTCAGCTGGTTATTGAGAAATGGGATTTATGTGGCAGATATTGATGTTGTTGAAACAAAGGTGTTGATACAGTGCAATCAAAGTTGGTTGGAACCAAGGGACTCCCTGATAGTCCCCCAATGTTAAAAGGCCCTGCTTCATGTAACCCAGCTTGGGGGAATTTAAGAAGCCAAAAAGCATAGCTTATGATGAGAAACCCTACCCTGAATTGCCTAATTGCCTATGGATGATGATTAGATAAATTAATCATGGTAAAGATTTACCAAATTGCCAGGTTCTTTTGGCCCAACCCCTAAGGCCATAGGCACTCTGTGTGCTGGGCATTGATTGGTTGGTAATGACAGCAGTTAAGTCAAGAGGTCTGACTGGCTATACTAGACTAACCAGAATGGAGCAATGATGCTACCCTGGCAGAAGCCAGAGTTTTCACCTTCCAAAATTTCCTGAAATCAAACACAATTCTAGGCCCTGTGGGAAAGTGAATATCGTATTTTCCGGCGTATAAGACGACCCCCTAATTTTTACAGTTAAAACATAGGTTTAGGCCTATATTCGCTGTATAAGACTACCCCCCACTTCCAGGGCAACACCAGTTCTTTTTTTTAATAGACCGCCTCTCTGACTCCGGCCAATCTGAGCAGGCTTTTTACTAGAACACAGTGAGATTCGGGTACAGAACATGTATAATTTGCATGCATAAAAAACCTGCTTGGATTGGCTACCACCATCTTTGTTGGGTTAATTTGCATACTCCTGATTGGTTGTGGGTGTTGCAAAGTGATGGTCAGTTTACATATTTCTATTTTATTAATATAGATATATAAGAAAGCTTAGAAATAGACAATGTAAATATTAATAGAACCCCAAAAATAGACAAATCCACAATTATAATCAGGGATTTTAATACCACTTTCTTAGTAATCAATAAAACAAGAAAACAGAAAGTCAGGGACTGTAAATACATAGCACTTACGCTAGTTTATTTAAAGCAAAACTTAGAATATACATATGCCAAACCAATAATGATCATTTAACAAAAATAATACCGTCGCACTTTCCCCCTAAATAAAAAATTAACTCCTCTTCAAATGTTTAGTGAATGAACTGAGGATCAGCCACATCACATAAGAGTGAAAGAAGGAAAAACAAAAATGTGTTCAAAGTAAACAAGCTGGGACCCAGATTTAAAGAAAGAACGAGATATAACTGGTCATGAACAGAGGAAAAAGCATTCTATAAAGGAAGGAGGACCGTATCAAAGAAAAACAAAGTAAAGTTTTCTAGTCTAGGATAAAGAGTATTACGGGGAAAAAAATCCAAAAATTGAAAATAAGCAAAAGGGATTACTCGCCTCCTTTTAATAGAATGCAGGATGTAATTTAGCAGACCCTCTGGGGATTATCTGATTATGTAGGGGTGAGCATCTTCATTTGACTTTCTCATGACTAGACTACTTCACAACTTCATAGAGGTCGTAGTTAACCTGTAGACAATTGATAAAGCAATTGCTCTTTCTGTCATAGAGCAATGAAAATGATTCCTGTCCTTGGCAATTCAAATACAAATCTTATGGCAGAGATTTAATTTGCATCTGATAAAAAACAAAACAACCCCAAGCCCTAATCAGTGAAGGAAACAATAGTTCAGACTTCTTAGGAGACATGATTTTCTCACTTTCTCTTCTGTCATGAAAATTTGAAGAAAATTTTTATTAAAAAAAACAACTGGACTCTCACATTCAAGTATTTTCCACATACAAAACAACCCATAAAAGATGTCCTTGGAATCACCAAGGTTTCTCTGGCACACATTTCTTTTTCTTTTTATTTTATTGATTTTACACAGAGAGGAATTGAGAGGGACAGAGAGTTAGAAACATTGATGAGAGAGAATCATCGATCAGCTGCCTCTTGCACACCCCCTACTGGGGATGTGCCCACAACCAAGGTACATGCCCTTGACCGGAATCGAACCCGGGACCTTTCAATCCGCAGGCCGATGCTCTATCCACTGAGCCAAACCTGTCCCGGCTCTCTGGCACACATTTCAACAACACTTCTCTCTTTAGAAAATGTGATTACATATGTTATATTATTAGCTGTTTGTAGCAACTCTCTTGAATGAGGCAGTTATTACTAAGTTATTTTATAGGAGGAAAAAAACTCCAG